GTGGGAAGAGGTGTTTAACAGAGATACGGTGCACGTATTTAAAGGACGGCCATGTGTCTCCAAACATATAGTAGCACTGTCTCCACTCAGTCTGTCTGTCTGTCTGGCCGGTCTAGATGCCAAGTTTATCTTCACAATATGCAACAAAGTTTTAGTACACACACACACACACATACATACACACGTGCACAGAGAACTACTCCAGCGACCAGCGCTGCTATTCATCATGAAACATAGATTTGTCTCTTGTTCCTATACATCCACCACCACCAAATGCTCCTCCACGCATGTTCTTTCTAAATAAAGTCTCTGTTTCTATGTAATGTGTATCTGTAGCATTCTGGGACACACCCTACATTATATATACCAAACCCTCAGTCATAAAGGGAGAAAACCATATACCCGTGCAACAAATGATGGGCAAAAGCAAATAATACGATTTGTTTTCTCCTTATTACCTGAAAACTAAATCTGGAAGAGATTGTTTAATTTCTAATAGTTAGACTGATCATTTGGTCAGCTGATAAACCGGGCCGATATTTATAATTTATGTCAGCATCAGACAATATCCTTCTTTAGCAGAGATGATTTAAAGTCAGGCATATCTGCGGACATCCTGGTAGGAAGTCTGAAAATCAAGTCTAAGAAATGATCGGCTTGTTGCTCTGATGCTAAATCGAAAACACTAAAGGTGGCATTTATAGTTATAATATTGCTAATAATTATTTATTTTTTTATGTGAACTCTAAGACACTTGAGTTGTCGAAATGTTAGCTTTTGGTTTTTCGTACCTATAATTTCAGTGCTCCAGCTCTCCTGCGTCTGCAGCAACCTGAGTGGATGACACGCAGAGAGTTTCATTTTCCGCTTACGGTACATTTTCCGTTAGATTTTTTTAATTTAGACTCTAAATTTGTATTTATTTCATATAGATGTATATTTACATGCCTGAACAACATCTGCTTAATACTGTGCAGTGCACAAAGTTCAAATGTAAATTCAGCATTCAGGTTCCAGCATGGACGTAATTTTCACTTTAGAAGTGGGTGGGTGGGGGTGGGGGGGGGGGGGGGGGGTCTTTACAGTATGCTCTAATGGGAAACAGGCTTCAACACAAATGGTTGTTTTCCGCTTGGTCCTAGAGCTCAACCAGTGTCAATTTAGTATAGTGTAATATTGTTTTTGGATGGTAAAAAGTGCAGGGGTCAAAACTTGAATTTGGAAAATGTGGGGGGGGGGGGGGGGGGGAGACATGTCCCCCCTGTCCCCCCCCCAAAATTACGTCCATGGGTTCCAGAAAAGTGGAGCATTCACTGTTGTTATTGGTGACTATTTATCATGCGAATAAAGCAGTAAATATCTCGATGTCGGCCAAGAAAATTGGCCCCAGAAGTCGGCAGCACATGCTGGCCATCACCTGACTGTGACCACCATATGGGCGTCGGCGATAGAAAAACCCACACTGGTCTAATTGCTAATTTCTTACATCAAAATTGGCCAGTCTGCAGTAAGTTGGCTAATTCCTGATGAAATGTAAAAATATTAAAAGTTGGTAAAAAAAATGACTGGCATCCATGACAACAGCATCTTTTACAAGCTGCTGGTGTAAATGACAGCTCTGGCGCTGAAACAGGAACATCTGGTCATCGTGCTAGCCCAATATGCGCAACACGCAGCTCAGCCGGCCAGAATCCGAGCCGTTTAACAGCGATTCTGATTCAAGTCACAATCCGACTCCGCACACACTCACACACACACTTGGCAAACGCTGCAGCTTTGCTGCTGCTGGTTTAAAATTCAAATGCATCAAAGCATTTCCACACAGAGATTGTGGATTAGCAGGGTGTTTCTTGAAAGTTCTGTTCATGGTTCAGAAACTCTGGCATTTTCTTTTGAAAATCCCACATGGATTTTACTGATCGTATCTTTAGTGTTGAAAACTACTGGAAGACAGATCAGAGGAACCTGTCGTGGGGTTTTGGATTTCTGTCGAACGTTTGTCAACTTTTTCAGCAAGAAAAGCTAAATTCAAATTGGGTTTGCAGTGAAACTATGTAAAAGATCACAGTTTGCCTCTTTTAGCATCTTTCTCAAGGGGTTTCCATCAAGTGGAGCCTGCTAAAGACCAAATTACAGAGGATTTCATAAATGAGCAACAGCTGCACCCTGTGGACTACAGAGGAACACCTGTTTTAAAATGTATTCACTAAAAGACAAAATATAAACCCTGTTATCTTAACTTGACATGAGGATGTTCGGGTAATTTTAGGTTGAAATTTTTACTATGTTCATATTTTCATTTAAAGGGTTTTTAATGATTGATGTCGTTATCAAAATGATGAGTGATGTTTTTAAACGAGTGCACGATTTGTGATTTTATGTCTAACACAGTTCATTTAAATTTATTGCAGTAATCCCAAATTAAGTGTATGTCTGTAAAGGTTACTGAGAAACGATTCTTTACTTATTTTTGAAAATGATCAGTCACTCTTTGTTTTTCGTGCAGGCTGAACATGAAAATAGTCTTCTACACCGATCTCCTGCATTAGCTTCTGACAGAAAATAGACGGTGAAATGCTAGGATTATAACATTATGACGGATCTACGTCACACTGTCACTCAACATTTGTGGACCCACCCATCTTGAATATCGACGAGGAGGGCTGTCGTTGATTTAACGTCCAGGAAACAGCAGAGAACATCTTGACTAGTAGAAACTAACTGTTAGCATTAGCGACTCCGCTAAACAGAACTCCTTCAGGCTTGTGGTATTTGTGGAGATAAAACTTCAATGTTGCAAAGCAAACAGAGTCAGTGGTGGAGTTGCATTGCTGTTAACCAATCAGGGGCAGGATGTCCAAATATCAGGAAGTAAGACTCCAAATCCTGCCGTCTAAAGCTACGTTCTCTTCTGACTGACATCACACAAAAACAGGCACACCGGAGCTTTTTTCTCCTTCCACCGTCCGACTATAGCCCCAGTTGACGTCAGCAGCTCCCCATCCCCACTGTAAACAGTGTGAGCGAGTTGCTGCCTCCCTCTCCTGAGGCCCCGGACTGTTTGCCAGAACCTCTTTGGAGCCGATCGATAGTCTTTCTCCATGGCCTCACCAAACTCCTCCCACACCCGAGATTTTGCCTCGGCAACAGCCACTGCTGCACCCCGCTTGGCTATCCGGTACCTGTCGGCTGCCTCCGGAGATCCACAGACCAGCCACGCCCTGTAGGCCTCCTTCTTCAGTCTGACGGCTCCCCGAACCTCTGGTGTCCACCAGCGGGTACGGGGGTTGCCACCACGACTGGCACCGGCCACCTTGCGACCACAGCTAGCAACAGCCGCCTCAACAATCGCAGAGTGGAACAAGGCCCACTCGGAGTCAATGTCCCCCACTGCTCTCGGGACGCGGTCAAAGCTCTGCCGGAGGTAAAGACCGTCTTGACAGGTTCTTCTGCCAGGCGTTCCCAGCAGACCCTCACTATGCGTTTGGGTCTGCCAGGTCTACGCGGCATCTTCCCCTGCCATCTGATCCAACTCACCACCAGGTGGTGATCAATTGACAGCTCCGCTCCTCTCTTCACTCGGGTGTCCAAAACATACGGCCGCAGGTCAGATGATACGACTACAAAGTCTATCATCGACCTGCGACCTAGGCTGCCCTGGTACCAAGTGTACCGGTGGGCATCCTTATGTTCGAACATGGTGTTCGTTATGGCCAAACTGTGGCTTGCACAGAAGTCAAATAACTAAACACCACTCGAGTTCAGACCAGGCTGGCCGTTCCTCCCAATCACACCCCTCCAGGTCAAGCTGTCATTGCCCACGTGAGCATTGAAGTCCCCCAGCAGGACAATGGAGTCCCCTGATGGAGCACTATCTAGCACTCGTCCCAGGGACTCCAAAAAGGGTGGGTACTCTGAAATGATATTTGGCCCATAAGCACAAACAACAGTCAGGACCCGTTCCCCGACCCGAAGGCGCAAGGACGCTACCCTCTTGTCCCCCGGGGTAAACCCCAACACACAGGCAGAGAGTCTTGGGGCTAACAAAAAGCCAACCCCAGCCCTCCGCCTCTCACCCGGAGCAACTCCAGCAAAGGAGAGTGTCCAACCCCTAAGGACTTGGGTTCCAGAGCCAATGTGTGTCGAGGTGAGTCCGACTATATCTAGCCGGTACCGCTCAACCTCTGCCACAAGCTCCTGCTCCTTCCCCGCCAAAGAGGTGACGTTCCATGTCCCAAAAACCAGTTTTCTTGTCCGGAGATCGGACCGCCAAGGCTCCCGCCTCGGTCTGCCACCCGATCCACACTGCACCGGACCCTTCATGTTCCTCAAGCAGGTGGTGGGTCCACAGTTGGATGAGCCCATGTATCCGGTTCGGGCTGGGCCCGGCCCCATGGGCAAAAGCCCGGCCACTAGGCGCTCGCTCACACGCCCCAACCCCAGGCCTGGCTCCAGGGTGGGACCCCGGTAACCATCCGGGCTGGGTACTCTGACTCTTTGATTTTAAATCCATGAAAGATCCTCTGAACTGTTCTTCTCACCCTTCACCTAGGACCAATTTGTCATGGGAGACCCTACCAGGGGCACAAAGTGCCCCAGACAACAAAGCTCCTAGGATCATTAGGGCACTCTAACTCCTCCACCACGATAAGGGGACGGTTCAAGGAGTAATAAAAAAAAAAAGTTGGTTCAGAAGAAAGTTTAAATATTGAATAGGTGACTAAGCATACTTTTAATTTTCATTTTAAATACAACTTTTAATGATGCAGGTTCCAATTATTTTGTTTATGTTAAAAAAATAACAGATGAAAGGTTTTAGTGTAGAAAAATAATTACGTTTTCCCAATTCAAAATACTAGTGAGTTGATCAAACTTACCAAATTTGTGTGGAAAATGTTGACTTAATTTTCTTGAGTAAATTGAAAGAAACAGTATTTAGTGTACACTGCCCTTTCACTTGATCCAGGACACTTTATAAAAAAGCACCATCTTCCCTCAAATTAGAGAATAATAACCATGTAATTTTTAATCATTGATAAGACTTTAATAGCTCAACACCACAAAAGAAAAAACGTTATTCCCAATAAAGAAAAGAAAAACTACAAAAAGTGACAGTAAAAACGATAGCAGATGGAGAACAAAAGGGAACAGAACAACCGGGGCTCATCCAAGTCCATGTCAATGCCGCTGCTTTGATAGTGGTCCCGTGAAGAGTACTCTTTCAAAATATAGAAGTCCAAATCTCCCTGCACATATAAACAAATACTTTCCAGTGGATCTGCCAGTAGCTTTCAGTACCCAGCGTTGTTCACAACAGCACAAACGTTTTCATGATTAAAACGAGGCTAGCACACTAAAAGGGGGAAACAAGGTCCCTCGGCTCTTGTACGCATAAATACACACCAGTTTATTCTAAATACATTCTGATTTGCCTTAAATAATATTAATCAGCAACTTACCTTCTCAGTTTAAGGTGCTACATTCAGGATTTTTCTCCTTTGATCAAAAAGGAGGTTAAAGATGACAAATGAAAGTGTTAAAGAGAAAATCAATAAATCCTTTTAAAGCAGTTATTTACATTCTTACCGACTCATAGTGAAGTCATGAATTTAAGCCTTTAAAGCACAAGATCTGTTGCTGCCTCACTCATTTATAGAGCCATGAACAATGCTGCTTTTGTTGAGATTTTTAGATAACTTTATGATTTATGAAAAATTAAACAGAAAATAAAAGGTGGGTACAAAAAATTAAATGGACTACATAGAGGGCTAAACTTAAGAGAACCGTTGCCAAAAATGACATACTGCCCCTTTAAGCGTTATTAACCCAGCTGTTCGCTTACACGTTTATACGATATTTTTTAGTGTCTGTAATCAGATTGCACCGAACTTAAGCAGAAAGATAAATAACCTCATTGTCAAACATGTTTCTGGCTCAACTTGTTTTGTCTTGCGAGGAAAAACAGCCACGTTCAAGTCCTTGAATCACTTCAGCGCTGTCATTTTATGTTATTCTGATCTAAATGAAAAACAAACTCAGTTGGGAGGACAGCAAAGGTGAGAGTTTACTTCTGAACATCCCAGACATCCACGTTAGAAGAGCAGAAACCAAAGAAAAGTCACAACCTTTTGATCCATCTGTACGTTGAGCTAAAATCTTTGATTCTGGTGTTACATTAAAAAAAAAAGCATTTGGCACATCAGAGTAGATAAATGTCACAACACACAAGTATCACTCCTTTCACGGGGCCTTTAAATGCATAACCGGTGTTTAAACTTTTTTGCTGAACTGATGAAAGCCCCAGAAGTCCCGTTAGACCTCTGTCACAGTACACTGTCCATCAGGACTGCGAGAGCGAAGACTCTGAGCAGAGCTGGAAGGTTGGCCTCTCGGTGGAATCCTGGTTGGCTGATTGTCTCTGAGTGGCCTTTGTCTGAGTCTAGTTTGTGTTGATTCTCCTCTTCTTTGGTCAGACTCCTCTTCTTCGCTCTCACTGCTTCCAGATGCAGACTCGTACACCTGCAGCTCATCCTCTCCGTCGACCTCCTCCTCCTCCTCTGGCTGGCTGATTAAAAGCTGAGATAAAGACTGTTCCAGGGTAGAAGGTGACGGAGTGAGAGGACTGTTGAGATGACGACCAAGGAGTGTTTGAGGTCTGACGGGGGGAACAGACACCATGATCCCGAATGATGAGGACTGAGACTGACCTGAGGAGTCTGAACCATCAGCTGAGCTTACCCGCTCTGGCGCAGCAGCTGCTACAGCGGGTGTGGGAACAGGTTCAGGCTCTAACCTCAACCCAGCCACACCTTTCTTAGGGATGTCCACACCGTCCCTCTTTATCTTGCGCCTGCGGCCATGCTCATTCCTGCGATACTGCACCATGTTATCCAAGTCTGCCACATAAAGAAACCCTGCGATTAGCATCTCTGTGCTCTTCCTGCCTTTCACAAAGGCATCCTCCAGTTCTCTACTGGTCCTCTCATCATACTGCCACCAGCCATTGCGTCCTTCGTAGTACCAAGCGTAGTCTCCATGAGACTCTGTCCCACTTTGGCTCAGTCCCGCTGCTGCAGCTTTAAGTTCTTCCGGAGAAAGCAGAACGGGTCGCTCCAGGAAGTCCTCAGGGATTTCCTGTCGGCAGAGAGCACAGCGCTTGCTGTGCCAGGAGGCTCCTTTCACACACAGGAAGCAGAAGACGTGGGAGCAGGGCAGGCAAACGGGATGGACGCAGCTCTGCAGGCAGATGGCACATTCTGGGGTGGAGGTAGTGGTGGAGCCTTCTCCTGCTTCCTCTTTCAGCTTGGAGGGAGCATTCACTGGAAAGTCCACTTCTCCAAAACCTGCCATGCTGCAAAGAAACAGAACTGTTGCATCAAATCCGGTTAGAAATGTCAGCCCTACCGTAAAGTCATGAACATGTATGGTAAACCTGCTCATATTTACAGCATGGAGAGTCAAATTCCGTCATGGTTCAGGTGTGTATGTTCATTTGTTGTGGCTTACTCGTTTTGTGTGTCCCGTAGGTTTGTCCTCCTCCTTTCTCCCTGACAAACTAAGTAAAAGTGAGTAAGCTGCTATTAATAACAGCAACAATAATTATTATTAAGTTTAGGTTTGTGGGCCTGGGTAACATTTTAAATGAAAGTCGACAAAAAGCAGAGTACATGACGGAATGAAAACATGGATCACGTGTTTTAGATAACTGTACATTTCTGATGACTGGGCAATCAAAAACGTCAGAAGTGGCTAACGCAGCTTTAATCCGGGTCTGCAGACAAACTAACCACACAGAAAAATGATCAATGCCAATTTACGATTTTGACAAACCGAAATAAATAATACAATGGAGGAGGGGGGGGGGGGGGGGGGGGGGGGGGGTTATACAAGTTTAGGAAGTCCGCAGTTTAAGATGCGTTACTCTCCTCACATTGTATGTTTACACTTCTGGTAACGGCCTCGGACACGGTCTAGAAATGGTCAATCCATTTGTAAAATCTATTTTACTTTAATGGAGAGGGCTTATTTATAGTGATATAACCAACTTATTTGTAATTTGTCTTTAATATATCAAAACTGATGGTACATAAAGGCTATTGACAGAACTGACTCATCTATCTAGCCTAGCTTGGAGGTATGCTAACGTTAGCTAACTAGCGAGTTTTGGTTTAGCTTACGTATTTGAAAAATATTTACGGTCGTGATATTTTCATTTGTTTTGATAAATAACGCAACCATATAGAGTTCGCCGATACAAACAATACCCTTGCCAACGTGAAAATCGCAGACCTGGTATCATTTAGTTAGCCTGTTAGCTATCGGTGTGCTAGCACGTAGCTATTTAGCTTTTTACTCACCTGGGATGAAGCCTCTTAAAGCGTCCTCTGCTGACGTTCAAACGGATATATTTATATGTATGTGGTCATTTGGGTTATTACGAATTAAATCCTACGAAATGACCCGGTTGGGATGTTATTTGAACGCTTGGAGCGACATATAAACCCAGGAATGACCTCAGTGTTGCTGCATTGAGCCCATACCAACGCATATATGGTTCTGCTGCGCCTGCGCACAAAGCACCACCTTATGGTCTAAATATAGTTGTTTAATTTAAAAATTGTGTTATTCGGGTCAGCCAAGAAAAAAAAACAGTCATGTTCGTGATCTTGTTAGTTTTATTCACATTATTTTATCACAAATAATCACAACAAACCGACTTGATTAAAAGTATAAGAAATTGGATCCCTTTCCCAGAGCAAACCTAATAGAAGTGCGTTCAAAAAGGATTTACAGATTTACAAATGTATAGATTGTAAACATCTTCAAGCAAACATCTTGTAGCGGGACAATTTGCTACTTTTAGCTAGAAACATAAATCTTAAAAATATTATTTGTAAAGACAAGTGGCAAATTATAAGGGTTTGAGATTTATCGAACTGTGATAAATCAAAAGTTTGCATTTGAACACCTCAAACATTGCAGTGAGATATAAAATGAACAAAATAAATGATTTAAAAATAAAAACAATGAAAGCCGTTGTAACACTTTAGATTCAGATGAGGCCAAACTTTGCAGAAAAAAGCGAACTTAAACATCCTTGACTGGTTGCATAAGATAATCTGTTAGATTAGCTGCAAAACTCAATGAAAACCGACAGGCTGACACACGTTTTAAAAATAGCTCGACGATACTTTTGTGCAAGAAAAGGGCCAACGTTCACGACAACCTAGTTCTCTGTCTCTTTCTGTTTCCACACTTCCTGATCTCTGACAGACGAGGACAGGGGTCACCAAAGACGCTCGGGGTACGGAGGACTCGTCTAGTGCGGGCTTCCTCCCCCCTCCTGTGAACAGCCGTGCTCCTTTTCCGAACACAAGGACCCCAACTTGTCCATTGTCCAACCTGACAGTGAACTTGAGGAGACGGTCAACAATGAGGGAAGAAAATACTGGTTGAAGAAAAAAAATACGTCAAAGAAGAAGCTTTTCTCACTCCGAGGGACGCACTGCATCAGCTGCACATACGGCTCAAAGTTGTTGGGGCAGGTGTGATGGCACTGGCCATGGAGGTGGTATAAGTCTGCCCTGCACCTTGTGCACATGTTCCTCCTCACACACTGCTCACAGCCTGCAGGACACTCTGACACACGGGAAGAAAACAGTAGAAAATCATCTCCGTGAATCCGTTACGCTGCTGCTGCTGCTGTGGCCTAGCATCTTACCCGTGCATTCTCTCAGCGCCGTGTTTGCCGTCAGCCCGTTTGGACAGCTGCTTTCGCACTTGCCTCGGAGCAGGAAACGGCCCGGATGACAACGAGTGCAGAAGTTTTCGCTGAAGCAGGAGGCACAGTCTGCCTTGCACTCTGCAGGCCAATGGGAAGGAACCTTAGTCAGCACAGAGTGGCCACAACGCATTTAGCCGTTTTCTCACAATCTATTGCTGCCGGGGATCGTGCACTTATTTCACATCACTCGTTAACTTTGGTGATAAATAAAGCAATTCATGCCAGAAAAGGAAGATATTTTATATATAAAGTGTTCAATGATTAATGCCAGCAAAACTAAGGAGCTGGTGGTAGACTTTCGTAGGCATAAGCATTCCTCGCTTCAACCACTGAGCATACAGGGCATGGACATTGAGACTGTGGACAGTTACAGGTACCTTGGGGTCCATCTGAACAATAAACTGGACAGGACTCATAATTCAGATGCCCTGTACAGAAAAAGGCAGAGTAGGCTGCACCTACTACGGAGACCGAGGTCATTTGGAGTTGTGGGCCCTCTCCTGGAGACCTTTTATGACTCTGTGGTGGCCTCGGCCATCTTTTATGGTGTGGTCTGCTGGGGCAGCAGCATCTCTGCGGGGGATAGGAAGAGGCTGAACAGACTGATCCGCAGGGCCAGTTCTGTTCTAGGATGCCCCCTGGACCCTGTGGAGGTGGTGAGTGGCAGGAGAATGACAGCTAAACTGTCATCCATGTTGGATAATATCTCCCATCCCATGCAGGTGACTGACAGCTATGAGCAGCTCCTTTAGTGGGAGACTGCGGCACCCAAGGTGTGGGACAGAGAGATTCCGGAGGTCTTTCCTCCCCACTGCTGTCAGACTCTACAACAAATCTGTTGGATGAAGTGTACTCTGCATTTCTAAGCTGTATATAGTATGGTTATTATTTTTTACCCCATTCTTAAGGTATAACTTATCTATTGTATTGAGTTTATTTTATCTCATTACGATCAAACTTATTGTATTTTAGTGTTTTCTCCCTCTGCTGCATAACTTTTACTTTTACTTTGCTGTAAACTAAACAAATTTCCCACTTGTGGGACTAATAAAGGTTATCTTATCTTCAAATCCTCGCAAATAAAAAGGACTACCAGGTTGATGCAATACTGACCTTTAAACTCAAATAGGTCAGTTTGACTACTCTTCATGTATAATGAACACAATTTATTGTTTTTAAAGAATATTGTAGTTTTTAAATCTACATTAACGCATTTGTGGTTAAAAATATGGCAGCAGAGGCGTATTTTGTTTGTAGACTTGTGCCATTTAGAGAAAAGGCCAGTGGGCAGCTTATATTGTTCCTGGGGGGCGCCATGGTGCCCGCAGGCACCAGGTTGGTGAACCCGGCCTACATTACATTACAGTACTGGGTTAGACTATCATTTTTATGGATTTCAAAAATAAATAAATAAATAAAACATGCATAATTTCTTATTTAAGGTCAGATTTTCCTTCAGGATTTTTTTTAGAGAATTCGTGGTTCCATCAATTACAATAAATGGCTCAGGCGCAGAAGCAGCAAAGCAGCCCCCGACCATCACACTACTGCCACCGTGCTTCACTGCTGGCGTGTTTATGTTCTCCTCTGAAATGATCAATATCTGATGGAACAGGACACACACCTCCCAGAAAATCCCACTTTTGTCTCATCAGCCTACAGAATACTCTTCTAAACGTTTAGGCCAAGGGTAGGGCAACCCGGGTCCTAAAGAACTGGCGGTTCTTAAGGACCGGCGTGTTATAGTTAGGTTACCTGCTTCGACACCGGTGATTCACCTGTTCAGCAGCTCTGCAGAAGCCTGTTAATCACATACAGGTGGAAGTGAGCACATCTGTGGGGTTTGTAAAAAACTAATTTATATATATGAAAATTGCAGGTGCTCTTCAGGATGCGATTAATCGTAGGATGTGTACGGGGAAGAAAAACAGGTGATCCGAGGCACTCTGAGAAGTATTTTTATTAGAGCAAGACAAAGAAAATGCCGATCCCCATCCACATCCTGTTAATCACATGCTGATTAAAATCAGGTGCTGAAGCAGAGAAACCTCTAAAACATGAGGGACGGTGGCTCTCTGGGACCAGAGTTGCTTACCCCTGGTCCAGGTGATCATCCATGGAGTCAGCTGATTTTAGGAACTCTCCAATAGGCGCTATTCTTGCCCTCCTTGTCTCTTTCTCATTAGTAAATCGTGAACTCTGACCTTAAGTAATGCTGTTTTTTTTTATTTGCTTTTCTTTAGAACGGAACATGATGTGTTGTTTTTTGAGACCTTTTAGCTACATGTTGTCAGACAGGCTCTAGAAGAGGCAGGAGTGCCTATTATTGCTCATTTTAAATATATTTTTAAACATTTTCTATATGCTTTTTATATTTTTACTTTTTTTGTTTTTGTGAAGCGCCTCATGATTTTTATCTTGAGAGGCGCTATAGAAATGTTATTTTCTTCTTATTATTATTTCTTTTTATCCTCTAGGGCAGGAAGTGGCCGGTGGAACTGAACTCACCTTTGCAAAAATGGGTTCAATTATAAATCATCAAGATTGATCAAAGGGGACAAATATTTGGTTTTCATACAGGGCCAGGTTGGTTTGGATCATTTCTCTAAACCACGTTTGTATTTCAGGGTATCTGCAAGGGAGCCAAATTAAAGACTTTTTAAGACCTTTTTAAGGCCACTTTGACCAAATTTAAGCCATTTTTAAAATTAAGTTTAAGCTATAATTTCCAGGAACCGGTGCGAACCACGTCGCAAACGTGGGATTAGCCATCCAGTTACCATTAAACCAACACATTCTCACACCCAAGGCATCAAAATATGACGCGTGTGACCAAGCCTCATGATGATTCGGGACGCCCAAGCGCGTCAGGAGACGAAGATCAGGGACACTCCGGGACACGTGGCTCCGCTGGTGTCACTGTTTGACGAGCGCGGTCACACGGGTATTATTCGACTATTTAACCTTCCCCTCACCCCAATCCTAACCTGAAGGTCCATAAACTGTGACCTTAAGGTTAGGATTGGGGTGAGAGGAAGGTTAAGTAGTTCTAATGTCCGTCTCAGCACCAGCGTCGGATACCGACGCTCTGGGACGCTCCGTCACCAGTTTGTCCCTGATCGTCGTCTCCTGACGCGCTGGGGCGTCCCGAATCATCATGAGGCTTGGTCACACGCGTCATATTTTGACGACTTGGGTGTGAGAATGTGTTGATTAAACTTCCACTTCCCCACGGCGCAAGCTCCCACTAGCTTAACCAGCTAATGTGCTCATCTAAAAGTAGCCCCCTTTCACAACCGACTGAATGTGTACGGTTCCGCTTACGGCAACATCGTACACCAAAAAAAAGCTGAACACCAACTAGAAAATCACAAAAATTTTATAGAAACAAAAGAATCTTGTTTATTGGGTCTTTGGTAATTTAAGACCTTTTTAAGGCCACTTTGACCAAATTTAAGCTATTTTTAAAATTAAGTTTAAGCTATTATTTCCAGGAACCGGTGCTAACCACGTCGCGAACGTGGGATTAGCCATCCAGTTACCATTAAACCAACACATTCTCACACCCAAGGCATCAAAATATGACGCGTGTGACCAAGCCTCATGATGATTCGGGACGCCCAAGCGCGTCAGGAGACGAAGATCAGGGACACTTCGGGACACGTGGCTCCGCTGGTGTCACTGTTTGGCGAGCGCGGTCACACGGGCATTATTCGACTATTTAACCTTCCCCTCACCCCAATCCTAACCTGAAGGTCCATAAACTGTGACCTTAAGGTTAGGATTGGGGTGAGGGGAAGGTTAAGTAGTTCTAATGTCCGTCTCAGCACCAGCGTCGGATACCGACGCTCTGGGACGCTCCGTCACCAGTTTGCCCCTGATCGTCGTCTCCTGACGCGCTGGGGCGTCCCGAATCATCATGAGGCTTGGTCACACGCGTCATATTTTGACGACTTGGGTGTGAGAATGTGTTGATTAAACTTCCACTTCCCCACGGCGCAAGCTCCCGCTAGCTTAACCAGCTAATGTGCTCATCTAAAAGTAGCCCCCTTTCACAACCAACTGAACGTGTACGGTTCCGCTTACGGCAACATCGTACACCAAAAAAAGCTGAACACCAACTAGAAAATCACAAAAATGTTATAGAAATAAAAGAATCTTGTTTATTGGGTCTTTGGTAATTTAAGACCTTTGGAAACTGTATTTAAGGATTATTTGTCATTTTTAAGGATTTTTAGGGCCTTAAATTTGGAAAAGCTAATTTAAGACTTTTTAAGGATCCACGGATACCCTGTATTTACTCAGGTTATCGTTGTCTGACAGGAAAACTTGTTTGATGATCTGAAACATTTAAACGGGACAAGCAGCAAAATAAAAACAAAACAAACACAAGAAATGCTTTTTCACAGAATTTTGCACCGTATTTAAAAGCTTTTATCTACATACTGGTACAGGTGCTGATGAGCGGCGAGCGCGCGCCGAAGTAACCTCGAGGACATGACGACAGACACGTCCCCCTCTGCCGGATCCCGTCCAGCTCCAGGTGGAAGAAGAAGCGAGGTTTGCAGGACAGGCAGCCGTTCAGAGCAGAGCAGGTTGCACATCCTGCCTGACAGTCGCTGCTCACAGAGGAGCTTCCTAAAAACCAAGGGTCTCACATTTATTCATCTCTGTGCATGAAGGGGTCTTGGTTTAAAAACATTAAAAAAAAAACGAAGACTACGCAAATACAAATGTCTATGTTTATCTTTTTTTTTTCATTTATTTTCCTAAACCGCTTCTTCCCGAGTAGCTGGAGTCAATCTGCAGCGGCCACTAAAGGTGGGAGACACCTTGGACAGGTCTCCAGTCCATCATAGGGACACGTAGAGTCAAACAAATACTCACACAATCAATTCAATCTCCAATTAAGCGGACACTCATGTTTTTGGTCTGCGGGAAGAAACGGGAGCAGCTGGAGAAAACACACACGTGCGTGGGAGAACGGCTGCAGCTGGGTGTTGAACCTGCAACCCCTCTTGCTGCGAGGGAGCAGTGCTGCCAACACACTGCTGGTGTAAACTACTCTGCAGCTCCACGCAAAGTTTGGTCTCACAAACTGGGATCTCGGCTATAAAATTCCTGAGTGCAAGTGGGTAAATCCAGTGGAAATCTATGACCACATTGTTCCCTGTAAGCTGAACTGTGCTCTTATTGTCTCCATATGTACTCCCCGTCTGCTCCGTCCTTAAAAACAAAGATAAATCACATTTCAGGAGTAGCTGTAAATGTGGAGGACACTTACGTTTCCATCTCAGAGCACCCGTGCCACCTTGGCAGCTTGAAAGGTTCATTAGGTGCAGAATCCAAATTAGCGACCGCATCCGCATTTTCCTTCACCTTCAGAGCCGCGTTCATCCAGACAACACACTCCCCCTCCCTGCTTCACACTCCAAATCCCATAATATACATTTCAAAGAGCGGCTGCGGCGCCTCACATTCAAATGGACTCATGTAAAGATTCCAGCAGCGGAGCGAGGTGATGTTTTCTTGAGGAAAAAATCCCAGGAGCATTCCAGGAGATCACTTGAGCGCCATGGAGAACGCAAACAGAGCAGGAACATCATATGATAGCGGCAGCCTCGATCCAATGCAAAGTTTGGGTCCGCTCAGATTTTTTTTACGCTCCCACCCTCCTTCCAAACCCTCCTTCTGATCCAGCATCGTATCCACACGGCCTCTTCCTATAAAGCTGACACGGATATTCCCGATTTTCCTAAATAACGAGCTAACTGATGGAAATATTTACTCCAATCCCTCACACGTACCAGATATGTTCACGTCTTTGGTTTTTCTAAAGATTCTGTCACAGAGAACACAAATGTTAACAAAAATGGATGAAAATTAGACATCATCTCTATTTAAGAAGCAAAAACTTCCATTATTCTAATCCAAGAATTGAAGCTCCAGTGATGAGCTCGGACAAAACCGAGTTGGACCAGTTCCAATCTGCCCTAATCCCAAAAGTTTCATAGCATTTTACTTCATGAATATTTACACAAGCATAAATATGGTTGTTTACATGGACTATGTGGTTCTTTGTAGTAGATTAGCTGCTAGAGCTTCCTAATAATTCAGCTGGATTAGCATAGTCTTCAGATGCACTGAATCAGAGCTGATCTCTATTTCTCTAAACTGAGGTTGCTCAGAGTGGGTAAGATAACTGATGGTAATATTTACTAAATATGTTTACAAAATAATCCTACAGAATATCCGAATTGTCCGTAAATCTGAGATTAACCAAGACAACCCTAACCAGGTCAAAAACGACAGCGTTGTGGTTTAATCTGGGATTTTTCAGCTGACACGGACACAATAAAGTTATAAAATCTAATCCCGAAGCTGACAATGTAAAACTTTAGACACACCTGGAAAAGTTTTATTTTGTTATTCTGATCCTGGCTCATTTCTTAAAGAATCTCATAAAAATCTAAAAGTTCATCATAATTTAGGTTTAATAAACGAAGCAGAAAAAAGCATTTTCGTGCTGACTGGAACAAAAATTAAGATTCAGCCAACAAACAAGTCAAATTTCATCTGGATCAAATGAATTATCATTTCAAAGACCTCCCGTCTTGTGTTTGGGTTCGGGAAAAGAAAACCCAAATCTACCGAATGATTTGACTACGGTCCGACCAGAAATCTACATCTGAGCGGCGGAGCTGCTGGAAACAAACCTAAAATTCCCACAAGAGCCTGCTGGAAGTCAGCCGAGGATTCTGTCCTCCAGGGTTTGTTGTTTGGCATCCCGGTGTGGCTTATCGCTTGTTTCAGGAACTCTCTGGTCCCATTTTCTCAAAACAGACTCACATGCTGTCGTCATGCGGAGGCCCTCTCAGAATGCTTTGTTCTCTTCCGTCGGCCCTCACAGCATCATCTGTTTGGCTATAATGTGGTTATAAAGCATGTTCAGGTATTTAGGCCCTGTCAGATCGACTTTACACTGATAAGATGCTGCATAAAAGCACATTTTTACATCCCGGAGCACATGTGTTCTTTGTTATGAAGCGTAGAGAAATGTTGTTCTTCTTAGCTTCTCCGGAGGAACAAGCAGGAGACTTCAGCTCTGGAGCAGATTTACCTCGGGGAGGATTTGATTTAAGAGGGACGCATCGGAACGGAGGAGCTGGACGGTTTTCAGGGTGGAATCTACAAGTGTAAGCAGCACGCACGTACACGGAGGAGTCAGAAGTCCCTCAAGAACAAGAGCGAACCTTGAGGGGGAGATAATAAAATAACACCAAAGTGGAGCCCCTGGAAGTCCGGCCAACTGCAGCGGAGCAGCACCATCCATCAACCTGCGTAGTAAATTTGCAGCCGGCGTCTGAGGCGCGCAGAGGGGGCGTGAAAACGTTTCCCTCCGCCGACGCTTCACCCCGCTGCAGAAGGCAGGTGATAAAACGCACGCAGATGTGTTATCAGATACTTGGAGACTCCGTTAATAAAATATGTGAATCGCAGACGGAGAAGTGTGGAAGGCTCCCGAACCCCCACCTTCTTAAATCCGACGGGGAACATAAACCTGACGAGGCGAGGCTCACCGGAGTGCCAGATCAGATTCTAGACCAGGCGAAGGATGCTTCAACGGCCAGGAAGGAATAAGAGACAAACGGGAACGACAAAAAAAGTAGAAGAGGGTTGAGGAAAAGTGAAGTGGGATTTTGGAGGCGATATAAACCAGATGGATAGGAGATGTGTTATCGCTCTCCTCTCAGAAACACTCAAACTAGACCTCAACTTACTCAGTTTACTCAAATCTATGCTCTAGTTAAACAAGAGACTCAAATAAAAGCACAAAAACTGATTCCATGATGGAATATCACAGATTTGCAGTAAAACAGAAAAACAAAACAAAAAAAAAAAATCGACTTGTTTTGGACAGAAATGTAAATGGCCTGTATTTGATATAGCGCCTTCTAGAGTCTTCCAAGGCGCTTTACAACACAATCAGTCATTCACCCATTCACACACACGTTCACACACTGGTGGGGATGAGCTACGATGTAGCCACAGCTGCCCTAGGGCGTACTGACAGAGGCGAGGCTGCCGAGCACTGGCGCCGCCGGTCCCTCCGACCACCACCAGCAGGCAACGTGGGTTAAGTGCCTTGCCCAAGGACAAAACGACAGACTGAGCGGGGCTCGAACCTGCAACCTTCCGATTACGGGGCGAGCACTTAACTCCTGTGCCACCGTCGCCCCGTCCGTACCTGTCTCCAGGTATGGTGATAAGGAATGTTCTGCTGTGGCAGAGAGAAGCATGACTGATGAGTGGACGACGCCTCGTAATCGGAAGGTTGCAGGTTCGAGCCCCGCTCAGTCTGTCGCTGTGTCCTTGGGCAAGACACTTAACCCACGTTGCCTGCTGGTGGTGGTCGGAGGGACCGGCGGCGCCAGTGCTCGGCAGCCTCGCCTCTGTCAGTACGCCCCAGGGCAGCTGTGGCTACATCGTAGCTCATCCCCACCAGGGTGTGAATGTGTGTGTGAATGGGTGAATGACTGATTGTGTTGTAAAGCGCCTTGGGGGGTTCCAGGACTCTAGAAGGTGCTATATGAAATACAGGCCATTTACCATAAGTCCACAAATAGCTCAGACTTCACTAAACAATTCCCATTTAACAAATAAATAAATCTGTATTTTTACCTTTTACAACTATTTGAACAGGTTGTTTTGATTAGAGAAGGATTTGTTGTGGGTTCATTAAAGCAGTGAAGCTGAGATTTTCAAAATAAAAGACAGTGGAAAGATTTCAGAGGTTTAATAGAAATAAAAAAAACAACACAGGTACAGACTGTTTCAAAGAAATGAACTAAAACCAGTAAAAATGTATAAATGTAGAGGAAAAAACTTAAATGGAATAAAAAGTGCAATTTGAGCAATGGTCCTGGTTGTCTTCATCCTCGTGCCTTTTTCAGAACTTTCTACAAAGACAGAAAATAATAAAATCCTATAAGTAGTCTAGAATCAAATATGCACTTCCAAATTTTCACTGTAATGGCTGCATTTGAATAAAGTAAGTAAGTAAACATTGATAAATCACGACGGACGGCAGCTCTTACTGAGCCAGGTTCAGCTGGAGGTTCCCCAAGCCTCTACTGCACTGTGGCAATATTTTGTCCACAGGAAAAAGAAGTCTGATGTCCAAAAACCCCCCAAATTTTTCCCTCATGTCTCCAAAAAAGAAAACAAAACAATAAAGTAAAAAAAAAAAAAAAAATGCCAGTCCCTAACCAGTCCTTATATTTGTGTAAAAAATGCTGCTGCAGCTCACTGCGTCCTAAGGGAATGTGCGAAATGTGGAGATGAATTTCACCAGTGTGTGATGAACTAATGGGACTTCAACTCAAAAACAACATTTTTGACTAAATTATAAATAATAAAAATAAAAATGGCTCCAACACTACTCATTAGGTACAACTAACTCACAGCTGATAAAACCTTAATACATGCTCGGATGACTAAACATTACAAAGCTGCTGTAAGAGATCTCATAATCTGATGATCCCCAAGCAGGGTTTAGGGTTCTACAGCACCTCAGGCACTTCGCAACACAATCAGTCATTCATCCATTCACACACTGGTGAGGATGAGCTACGATGTAGCCACAGCTGCCCTGGGGCACACTGACAGAGGCGAGGCTGCCGAGCACTGGCGCCACCGGTCCCTTCGACCGCCACCAGCAGTAAAGGCGGGTTGAGTGTCTTGCCCAAGGACACACCAGCAGGATCGAACCTGCAACTTTCTGATTACTGGACAACCCGCTCTACCTCCTGAGCTACTTGCTGCAGAAAGTACACAAGTACAGTACAGTTTAACATCATGACGTGTTTCTGTTGTTAGCTGCATAGCACGGTTCTTTTTGTTAGCTCATTTTAATTAAGTAAAATTAACACAAAACATCTGATCGTTGTGAAAACTTTACATGAGATATCAGACCCCGCTATATGCTACATAGCTTGGAAACAACAAAAGTCGTTGTAATTAGAGTAAAGAAAGGAAGCTTAAGATTGCTGGATGGAAATATATGGGAGAAAGAAAAACACCAGCTAGGACTTTTAATGCTAACTTCATAATAAATAAATTTTCATTGCGACTGTTGTTTACAGAAAAATCTGCATGTGTAGCTGAAGAAACAGAAGACAGCCCCATTAAAACAGCTGTCTCCTTATGTCCAGGTCAAAACACCTGGTGAGAAATAAGACTGATGAGTCACCTGGTTCCAACATTTTTAGCCACAATCTAAGCTTTGTGATTCTGGTTCCACAAAAGCGACTCAGACAATCAAATGTCAGTACAAAGTCTATTTTACTTTACATTTAATAAGATTACCTCATTAGAAATGCACACAAATATCAGGTGGTTTTATTTTATAATGTGTTTTACGAGTATTACTGTTATTTCCATGTAACTTGTTTCTACTAATGGCTTACCACCAGTCTGCAACTTCTAATCCACGTCCAGTAAAAATGTTTCTTTAAAGTTGAGACTATCTAAGAAATATTTGTCGCGTTAAAAGGGCATTTATTGTTACAGTGGATGTGGTCTGTTACCTTAGACACCGCTTTAACATGATGAGCTTTTATCGTGGAAGATTTCTCCTCAAACGCTTTGGCCGCTGCCTCTTCAGCCAGGCTGCTCAGGAACACCAGTGTCAAAAGTTCAGCCTATCAAGAAAACAAATTAACTTCAACCATATTTCTGCCACAGAGACAATGGCGATGCAAAGCTAACGCTAAAGGTGCACAAATTAGAACAATTAACTCGCGTGTCCGCCTACCATCGCGATCGACGCGGGCCTCATCTTTATGTGTCCTTTCGCTTTCGATTTAATGGTATGTTGCAATTTCGGTGGCTTTTTCAACATTTCGGCTGTTGTTCAGAATGAAGCAAACGCTAAAAAGTCTTAACGATGTTGTTTAATGTATTGTTTAATCTCCCGCTCCTCTAACATCCGGGGTTATTTTCTTCTTCATGGGTTGGTTTTGTCCTGCTGGCGCCACCTACCGTTTCTGATTTGTTTATTTAGGCCAAAATGAGAATAATATAAAATATTTTCAAACGTCTCTTATATTTTTAAAAGCATAAAACACAGAAATTGCTGTAAATTTAAATTAAATTGAGGGACAAAACAGATTATTAAAATAGTTTTTATTTTTCATGGCGTTGTTTATGCTGCTTCACATCCGGGTCAACAAGCAAATATGGCGGCCACCATGGATACATCAGCCGGCATGAAAAACATGCTGCGGTTTATGAAACTTATTGGACAACTCAAAGTAAGAATTTTCCTTAAACTTGGGCTACGGTTGTAGAATTTTGGTCCCTTTATTACTAAAATTCACTCTGTCGATTCTACTCGTAACATTTTTGTTTTTAACTAAACAAGCATCTCACTAAGAAACCTTTGTTCGACCCACAAGCCTGGGAAATAACTTACGTATTTCACTTATTAAAGTTTTTCTACAAAGCTAGTTATTTTAGTGCTCAGTTAATTGAATTTCAGCAAAATTTCTTTCTAAATAAATGCCTTAAAGTTATTAAGACAAACACCATTGTGTAAATATTAAGCACGATTTGCTTTAAAAAGGCAATTTGTGCTTAATCAAATAAGGACATTTAACTAGTTATCACAGATTATGTACAGGGATTAGCCTAATTACCAGAATTAATAGTCATATGTGATTATTTGATAAGATATTTAGCAAGTGCATTTTATTAATATAGCACTTATCACAGACATAGAGTCACAAAGTGCTTCACATAGATCAAAACAAAATTAAACAAAGTCATAAAATCATAATGATCTCAATTTAGATTTGGTGCTGATGCTTGTTCTAATGTGACCTTCAGAGAGTTCCACGGACTGGCTGGGTGTACAGGAAGGTGAAGAACCCAGAGAGTGTTTCAGACCACATGTACCGCATGGCCATGATGTCTCTGACCATCACCGATCCCTCAGTAAATAAAGACAGGTGGGTAGGAATCCAATCAAAGGGAAGAGTTCTTTACCTGCTAGGATATGTCTCACAACACGTCTATCCCCAGGTGCATAAAGCTGGCTCTCGTCCACGATATGGCAGAGTGCATTGTGGGAGACATCGCTCCGTCAGATAATGTCAGTAAAGAAGAGAAACACAGGAGAGAGAAGGTACACAAGCTGCAGCATCCAACCTCTACGTTTTATTAATAAGGACATCAATTAAATGTTTGTAAATGTTTGTTTTTTTCAGGAAGCAATGGAGCATCTGACAAGACTTCTACCAGAAGGCCTCAAACAAGAAATATATGCTCTGTGGGAGGTGCGCTGCTTTTATTTATCCATTCAGATGGGAATAAAAGGACGTTGAGCCAAATTTGTGTCACACACAGGAATACGAACATCAAAGCAGTCCAGAAGCCAGGCTGGTGAAACAGTTCGACCTGCTGGAGATGATCCTGCAGGCTCACGAGTACGAAGAGCTGGAAGGAACTCCTGGAAGACTGCAGGAGTTCTTTGACTCCACCAAAGGTGCGTCTCCTCCAGCTAGTTGTTCTGTTAGTGCTTTAATTATGCTACCTGTGGGTAACTTCAGACAACTTTTCAGGTCGTTTTCAGCACAGGGACGTGCTGCAGTTGGTCGACTGTTTAAACGAACAAAGAGGAAGTGACGCAGTGAATGCCGACAGCTTCGGGAAGCAAGAGGAATCGCAGACCGACGCTTCAGGATCTGAATGCTGTCGGATGGACCTGAAACCCAACATATCAGACACAGCTTAGGTGTGCTCTTGCTATGTTGTCGTTATTTAATAAAACACAGAAACGGTTTTGTTACCTGTTGTTGACGCTACAGTTTCGGCGACGGCTGCCGGCTTCTTCAGGCTGACGCTGATGGTGGCGCGTCACTTCCTTCTCCGTTTCAACAAAAATACAAAAGATGGATCAAGGAAGCAATCGAGATAAGGAGACGTGGATGTGGGACCGTGAACAGGGACGATGGAGTTTACACGCTGGACCGACCGCGCATGGGACTGCATCGTCGGAGAGGGGAGAGCGGGCAGTAGAGGGCGACAGCGTCCTCTGCTGCCCGCAGATAAATGGAGAAGGAAGTGACGCGCCACCATCAGCGTCAGCCTGAAGAAGCCGGCAGCCGTCGGCGAAACGTAGCGTCAACAACAGGTAACAAAACCGTTTCTGTGTTTTATAAAAGAACAACAACATGGAATATCAGACACAGCCTCCTGCAGAGCTTAATGTTAGATTTGATATTCTCTGTGATGATTTTGTGTTTCTACAAAACAAAACACTCCCCCACCTCCGGTTTTTCTACATCAAGCTTTATTGCACATTTCAGATGCATTTGTGTTTGTGATTTACATTTATTACCTGGTAGGTTCCACATCAGAGTTCATTATAACAAAAGGGGAAACTGTAAAACGTTGCATTTATTTCCTTCTAAGACGAGTGAATTTCCCATCAAACTGCAGAACAAAACAAACCTTTTTAGTTACAGAAGTTTTAAGTTTTCTTGTGTAAAATTTCATTGCATATTTTCTCAGATTTCCAGCAGGCTCACACAGTCGATGTTTGTGCTTGAACAGTTATTTATGCGTCGGTTTTAATGTTTATGAAAGTGGCAGAAAAGCAAACTTTGTAGAAGAATAAAAAAAAAAGACTTTAATATTCTTCTGTAAATGAGATAAAATTTGTATTTTCCAAAAACGGAACACGTGACTTCAGTTTTTTTTTTTTTGCTGTATTTAAGACTTGATGAACTGTTCCTTCATCAGCACTGAAAAGGTGTTTAATAAATACAATGGAAATCTGCTCTGGAAGGAAGTCTAAAGTGAGACACAAGGCCATAAAACACAGATTACATTCAACAGGAAGTGGTTAGATGGCTAAGTCACACAGGTGTTATAATTATACAAGAAAAACTTCAGGATCTATTTAGAAAAGTTGATTTCTTCCAGTTTCAAAACACAATTAGTGATAAATCAAAAACGTGATTCATGTCGACATTTATAAGTTGTGTAGTGCAGCTTAGACTCCGCACCAGGAACCTTTTATAAATCAATGTGGGGGATTAACGGAAATAGGTCAAAATTAATGTTATAAATGCACTCTTTACTCCACACGGGTCTTTTTCTGCTCAGTTCTAAGGAATCCCAGCTGTCATGTTTCCTCCCAGACGCCACACAAACCTGAGATTGGACTTTCAGACGGTTTTAGTTTCAAGCTGCTCGACTTCAGTGTTTGTGGCGTAATGGAGAAGAAGCTCAGATAATATTCATCTTTACTGGATTCCACCAAAACCCCAGATTAACGGCTCATCGGCTGTTTAGTGTTGCTTAAGCTGTCTGGAGCTTTCAAAATAAAAGCAGAAACTGAAGGGAAATACCTGAAAGTGTGTGTGGGGTGGGGGTGGGGTGGGGGGACTTTTAACAAAGGTTATCAAATAAAAGTATCATGCACCAGTTCAGTCAGAATGTGGAGATCACACAACAGGCTGCCGTGGGATTGAAATTGACAGTCCTGCCCAGGGGTGCGCCTCTAACACGGCCCCTCTGGGCGGTTCGTCAGGTTGTTGGTGGGCGTGTCCTGAGAGCTGGCGTTCGCTGCAGACGAGAGGACGTCTTCGAAGCTTCCTCCAGGCCCCGGACCACCAACTTTAGTCTGGAGTAAGAAATAAATGCAAAGCACCAGAAGGCATGCGATCACTACAACGTGGGATTTGCTGTGCGTTTAAGATGGTTTTAAAACAGAAACAAAGTGACGTCTTTCTGCAGAAAACAAGAACTCACCTTGATCGTGGAAACTGTGCTTTCAACTTTCTCCTCAAAAGACTTGAAGCTGGAAGAGTTTCTGTCGTAAAAAACACAATTCAACTCTTTAAAATGCTGAAAACAACAGCCTTGTGGCATTTTAACAGCTCTCCAGATAATCTGAAACCATTTATTAACACTAAAGAGGAAGCAGAGCAGCTAAGTCAGGGTCAAAGGGAACATCAAAAACAGTGTTGTTACCTCATCGCAGGCATGCTCATAGAGTGTCTGACAGAGTAGCTGCTCCCAGAGAGCATGATGGGAGAGGAGCCACGGATTAGCAAAGATCACACGAGAGCAACATCAACAAGTAGAGCGAGGATTTGATTTTGGGGAAAATTTTTATTTAAAAAAAATACAAAATTTTCAAAGCAGAAAACGTCTGTTGTATCAGAAAATGCTGCGTTTGAGCTCGGACTCGGTTAGATCTAACGGACTCTTACCCGATTGAGTTGGATCTTTGGAGGCAGAGAGGGAAATGGAGAAGAGTTTAGTTACAATGTTAAAACACACACACACACACACACACACACACACACACACACACACACACACACACACACACACACACACACACACACACACACACAGATTGTAACAAAGGAAAAGGTGGAAGATTTAGATTTTTTCTACATTATTGGAATAATGATTCAATAATTTGAGTGTTTATAAAATAAAAGCAGTCCACACACACGCGTGTTTTTATGGGTTTGTGTGGACTACGTTTTCTGAGTTGTTTGTGTGGACCCTGACTTCCACTATAGCCAGAATGGTGCAAAAATTATGTTTAACTCTAGGTGGGACAAAGGAAGCTTAGGAGTTTGGTTGTGTGGACTGGGTAAATGTCCACACAATGGTGAAATGGTGAATGTCCACACAATGTTGGTCTCCCGTCAGGGGTTGGTCCACACAAACCCATAAAGACAAGTGCACGCACACGCACACGCACACACACACACACACACACACACACACACACACACACACACACACGAAAGACATTAGACGCTTGATGGAAGACAAAACACACGGATAGTAAAAGCTTGATAATAACAGTAATAATTTCTGTGTTTTTACACAATTCATCTTTTTTAATGATCCTTAACTCTGAACCAGGGCTGGACGATAATTCACTAGTTTAATGTATCTACTGATAGACATGTGGTGCAATTGAAAAAAAAAATGTATGGATAAAACTTCGATAAACACGTTTCCTTTTGTCATTCTAACCTATCAGGAAGCAGCATACTAGACTCACTACTTACTCCTAACCAATCAAAACCCCAGACTCGGGCACGCTAGGTCACCAGGCTCTCCCCTCTCAAACCAAAACAGAGCACGAGGCAGCAAGACGTCGCAGCGAGAAGAGGAGAAAAAATAAAAATACCAAAAATCAAAATAAATTTTCTACAATTTTAAAAATATTTTTTTCAATAATTACTAATACCTATTTTTCTATATCGCCCAGCCCTACTCTGAACCAGTCCAGATGAAAAAGCTCTGCAGACTCATGCAGGTGAAAACTACAGACATGCTTCCAGAGACCAAACCGTTGCACGTACCTGCGCGGGAACAGTAACTCTAGACCAGCCACGCTAGAATACAGCAATGGCTTTAATCAGTCGGGTCGTTTCATCCGTTTAATGACAAAAAAATATTTTTTTTACCATTTAAACACTGATTTGACATTTCTCCTAATCATCCTGCAGATTATTGTTATTAACTGATGTTACAAATACATCTTTCTGTCTGTTATGACCCCCCCCCCCCCCACACACACACACACACACACAACACTGTCCCGTGCAGCACAAAGCCGTCACACAGATCTGTTGCAGACAAAGGAGATGGGCTTTGCTTTGCCACGAGCCTTTCAGCGCCCTCAGAAAGCAGCTTAACGCTGGATTACATAATCCCACGCTTGCCTGAACTAAAGCCTGCATTACTACGACGCATCTTAGTGCGATCAGAAAAAACATAAAATATATAAAGAAACTACGAATAAGTGAGGAAGTTCGGGAGGGCTAATCAAGCCAATCTGGTTTAGATTATTAGATTAGTAGGTCCTGATAAAGTAAAAAAAATGAATAAATAAATCACTGTAAATTATAAGGAGTTGTTTTTGAGGTCTTCAGATGACAGCTGGACACATTTCATTTCCAGTTATTCAGTAAAATGACCCTTAAGTTATTTTACCTAGCAACAAGGTTTCTTTGAACCCACGAAGAAACGACAAGTATGAAGATAAAAAGACTTTCCTGATTAGTAAAACACCAGATTATCTAATCCAAGCAGGCAGAAGAACCATGAGGGTTTATTCGTCGTCGTCGTCTTCCTCCGCTTATCCGGGTCCGGGTCGCGGGGGCAGCATCCCAACTAGGGAGCTCCAGGCCGTCCTCTCCCCGGCCTTGTCCACCAGCTCCTCTGGCAGGACCCCAAGGCGTTCCCGGACCAGATTGGAGATGTAACCTCTCCAACGTGTCCTGGGTCGACCCGGGGGCCTTCTGCCGGCAGGACATGCCCGAAACACCTCCCCGGGGAGGCGTCCAGGAGGCATCCTGACCAGATGCCCAAACCACCTCAACTGGCTCCTTTCGATCCGGAGGAGCAGCGGTTCTACTCCGAGTCCCTCCCGAATGTCCGAGCTCCTCACCCCATCTCTAAGGCTGAGCCCGGCCACCCTACGGAGGAAACTCATTTTGGCCGCTTGTATCCGCGATCTCGTTCTTTCGGTCATTACCCAAAGCTCATGACCATAGGTGAGGATTGGGACGTAGATCGACCGGTAAATCGAGAGCCTGGCTTTCTGGCTCAGCTCCCTCTTCCCCACGACAGATCGGCTCAGCGTCCGCATCACTGCAGACGCCGAACCAATCCGCCTGTCGATCTCCCGATCCCTCCTACCCTCACTCGTGAACAAGACCCCGAGATACTTAAACTCCTCCACTTGAGGTAGGACCTCTCCCCCGACCCGGAGGTGGCAAGCCACCCTTTTCCGGTCGAGAACCATGGTCTCAGATTTGGAGGTGCTGATCCTCATCCCAGCCGCTTCACATTCGGCCGCGAACCTACCCAGCAAGAGCTGAAGGTCAGAGCTGGATGAAGCTAGGAGGACCACATCATCCGCAAAAAGCAGAGACGAGATTCTCCTGCCACCATCCTACCTCACAGACAGGACTTTCATGGTGAGTTTGGATACCTGTTCCTCTAGGTTCCATGGGATTACATGTGGTGTGCCCCAGGGTTCAATTTTAGGCCCAGTGCTTTTTAAACTTTATATGCTCCCTCTTGGCAGTGTCATCAGGAGACACAGGGTCAACTTTCACAGTTATGCTGATGATACACAGTTGTACATCTCCGTGTCTCCGGATGACTCTCAGTCAATGGATGCACTTTTTAACTGTATTTTAGACATCGAATCCTGGATGGCAGAGAACTTTCTCCAGCTCAACCAGGACAAAACTGAAGTTTTAGTCATTGGTCCTGAGGCCCAGAGAGAGAAGCTTTTACCGAAATTACAATCTCTGTCTTTTAATCCATCTGAACAAGTGAAGAACCTGGGTGTGATTTTTGACTCTGAGCTGACTTTTATCCCACACATTAAAAATATCACAAAAATAGGTTTTTATCATCTAAAGAACATCGCCAGAGTCCGCCCCATTCTCTCTCAGGCCAATACGGAGACGTTGATGCATGCTTTTATCACCAGTAGGATAGACTACTGCAATGCCCTGCTTTCTGGTCTTCCCAAAAAGAGCATCTCAGGCTTACAAATTTTACAAAATTCGGCAGCACGTGTCCTGATGAAGACCAGGAGGCGGGAGCACATGACACCAGTTTTAGAATCATTGCATTGGCTCCCCGTATGTTTCAGGATCAATTTTAAGGTTCTTCTAATGGTTTTTAAGTGTCTTAATGGTCTTGGGCCTTCTTATCTATCAGAACTGCTTTTACAATATGAACCCTCGCGGACTCTGCGCTCCTCTGGCAGGCGTCTCCTGGTCATCCCTAAAGTCAGGACACACACTCACGGCGAGGCGTCCTTCCAGTGTTATGGCCCTCGCCTCTGGAACGAGCTGCCAGAGGACCTCAGGGCCGCAGAGAACGTTCATGTTTTTAAGTCAAGACTCAAGACCCATCTTTTTAGGTTAGCTTTTATCTAAATATTTACTACAGTTTTATTTCTCGTTTTACATGATTATATTTTATTACTTGCTTTGCATGTTATATATGATTATATTTTAGCACAGTTTTATTATTTAAATTATTATTTTACTGTCTATGATTTTATTTATTACTTATTTTCTAATTGTTGTCATTTATATTAGCTCTTTTATTATATTTTTACTCATTTTAATCCAGTGTTTCCTCTGTGGGGGCCCTCTGCCCCGGGAGCGGTGGTCGACTGTAGCTTCCTGGGCGCTCTATAGGTGGGGGTCTATGCTCCCCCTCCACTGAGCGCCCTGACTTAGTGTGGAAGACCTGATGCTGCCGGGGCAGACGGCTCCTCTGATGGCGTTTCCTTGCGTTACCATACTTGGCTCATCTGGACTCAGCCTAATATAATTTTTACTCGTGTGTGTGTGTGAGTCTGTGTGTGTGTGCGCGTGTGATTGCATATGTTTGTTAATGTTTTTTAACCTGTTATGGGAATCTGGGGTCATTTTGTAAAGCACTTTGAATAACACTTTATTTGAAAAGCGCTTTAGAAATAAAATTTGATTGATTGATTGATTGACCAAACTCGACACACTCCACACCACGGCTGCGTCTAGAAATTCTGTCCATAAAAGTGATGAACAGAACCGGTGACAAAGGGCAGCCCTGGCGGAGTCCAACCCTCACTGGGAACAGGTCCGACTTACTACCGGCTATGCGGACCAAACTCACGCTCCTCTGGTAAAGGGACTGAATGGCCCTTAACAGAAAGCCACCCACCCCATACTCCTGGAGCGTCCCCCACAGGATGCCCCTGGGGACACGGTCATAAGCCTTCTCCAAATCCACAAAGCACATGTGGATTGCTTGGGCAAACTCCCATGCCCCCTCCATCACCCTTGCAAGGGTATAGAGCTGGTCCACAGTTCCACGGCCAGGACGAAAACCACATTGCTCCTCCTCTATCTGAGATTCAACTATCGATCGGACCCTCCTCTCCAGTACCTTGGCGTAGACCTTTCCAGGGAGGCTGAGGAGTGTGATCCCCCTATAGTTGGAACACACCCTCAGGTCACCCTTCTTAAAGATGGGGACCACCACCCCGGTCTGCCACTCCCTAGGAACTGCCCCCGATGACCACGCAATGTTGTAGAGACGTGTCAACCATGACAGCCCTACAACATCCATAGCCTTGAGATACCCAGGACGAACCTCATCCGCCCCCGGGGCTCCGCCCCTGTGTAGTTGTTTGACTACCTCAGCAACTTCTGCCCCCGAGATCGGACAGTCCATCCCCAGGCCTCCCAGCTCTGGTTCCTCCTCGGAATGCGTATTGGTGGGATTGAGGAGCTCCTCAAAGTATTCCTTCCACCGTCCGACTATAGCCTCAGTTGACGTCAGCAGCTCCCCATCCCCACTGTAAACAGTGTGAGCGAGTTGCTGCCTTCCTCTCCTGAGGCGCTGGACAGTTTGTCAGAACCTCTTTGGAGCCGATCGATAGTCTTTCTCCATGGCCTCACCAAACTCCTCCCACGCCCGAGATTTTGCCTCGGCAATTGCCACTGCTGCACCCCGCTTGGCTATCCGGTACCTGTCTGCTGCCTCCGGAGACCCACAGACCAGCCACGCCCTGTAGGCCTCCTTCTTCAGCCTGACGGCTCCCCGAACCTCTGGTGTCCACCAGCGGGTACGGGGGTTGCCACCACGACTGGCACCGGCCACCTTACGACCACAGCTAGCAACAGCCGCCTCGACAATCGCAGAGTGGAACAAGGCCCACTCGGACTCAATGTCCCCCACTGCTCTCGGGACGTGGTCAAAGCTCTGCCGGAGGTGGGAGTTGAAGACCGTCTTGACAGGTTCTTCTGCCAGGCGTTCCCAGCAGACCCTCACTATGCGTTTGGGTCTGCCAGGTCTACGCGGCATGTTCCCTTGCCATCTGATCCAACTCACCACCAGGTGGTGATCAGTTGACAGCTCCGCCCCTCTCTTCACTCGGGTGTCCAAAACATACGGCCGCAGGTCAGATGATACGACTACAAAATCTATCATCGACCTGTGACCTAGGCTGCCCTGGTACCAAGTGTACCGGTGGGCATCCTTATGTTCGAACATGGTGTTCGTTATGGCCAAACTGCGGCTTGCACAGAAGTCCAATAACAAAACACCGCTCGAGTTCAGATTAGGTGGGCCGTTCCTCCCAATCACACCCCTCCAGGTCAAGCTGTCATTGCCCACGTGAGCGTTGAAGTCCCCCAGCAGGACAATGGAGTCCCCTGATGGAGCACTATCTAGCACTCGTCCCAGGGACTCCAAAAAGGGTGGGTACTCTGAACTGATATTTGGCCCATAAGCACAAACAACAGTCAGGACCCGTTCCCCGACTCGAAGGCGCAAGGAAGCTACCCACTTGTCCCCCGGGGTAAACCCCAACACACAGGCAGAGAGTCTCGGGGCTAACAAAAAGCCAACCCCAGCCCTCCGCCTCTCACCCGGAGCAACTCCAGCAAAGTAGAGTGTCCAACCCCTCTCCAGGTCTCGGGTTCCAGAGCCAATGCAATGTGTCGAGGTGAGTCCGACTATATCTAGCCGGTACCGCTCAACCTCTGCCACAAGCTCCGGCTCCTTCCCTGCCAGCGAGGTGACGTTCCATGTCCCAAAAACTAGTTTTCTTGTCCGGGGATTGGACCGCCAAGGCTCCCGCCTCGGTCTGCCACCCGATTCGCATTGCACCGGACCCTTCATGTTCCTCCTGCGGGTGGTGGGTCCACAGTTGGACGAGCCCATGTATCCGGTTCGGGCTGGGCCCGGCCGGGCCCCATGGGCGAAAGCCCGGCCACCAGGCGCTCGCTCACGGGCCCCAACCCCAGGCCTGGCTCCAGGGTGGGACCCCGGTAACCCTCCGGGCCGGGTACTCCGACTCTTCGTTTTAACCGCCATGAAAGATCCTTCGAAGGATGAGGGTTTATTTATTTTTTTAATTACCTCACATTAATTTCACTTCTATTCAAATTGTTTTCTATTAAAATCATCACGTTTCATTTCTGGCTTCTGTCTGACAGGACCGGTTTGGATTCATGTGCGATCTTTTATTTTTCACCTCATGTCTCCAAACTTCCTGGTGATGGCGGAGCCGAGGTTGTTGAAGACAGCTGATGTTCTCTGTCCAGCTGTGGACAGCGTCTCGGACGTCTTCTTGTATCTGACAAAGACAAAAGTTCCTTCAATCAAAACTACATCTTCGTACAAACGGCACTTATCTACACGGACCAACGTGACCTTGTTTACACTTTTGTGACTCGGTCTGATACATTTGATCATTTGGGGGGGGGTATTGACATCTGGATCAGATACAGTAACTTTAACCAATCAGACGTCGGCTTCACCTCAGAGCCTGCTCTCCTGCGGTCACGCTGGTTCATTATAGATGAGGATGGAGGCCGTGTAAGACGATCCTCGGCATAAATTGTAACTGGATGAGGAAAAGAGGCTGTTGGAGAGCTCTTCTCTGTCTCCGAGACAAAGCTCGGCTCTGATTGGCCGACCCGGTTGTTTATCTGCAGACTGGAGGACTCAAATTATTTTAATGAATGAATCATTTAGCAGAATATTGGACTTCTTCCTATTTTATAAATGGGGGGCAGAGTTATATTTGGTCAGCATCTTTGGAAGAGAAGTAGCAAAAACAAAAGGTTTCTCTTTCGGGTGAAACTGACGTTTACAGTGAACACATCAGCGCCATGACGACCGCCTAAAGGGATGGTTTTAAAATCAGGTTTATGGTCGGCTTCAGTCACATGGCTCTTTGGGCTTCAGCCCGAGTCCAATAAAACCACCGGTTTTATTTGTGCGATTATTTGTTCATGGCGTACGTTTGATTCAGCTGGACAAGGCTGCAGCACCGTCCAACCAGCGCCACCTAGCCTGGGTCTTCGGTTTACTGGTGAACTTACGCCGTGGAGCTCTGCATGTCCTGCCAGCCTCTGTTGAAGTTGTTCCTGAACTCGCTGAACGCGGAGATGCCCAGTTTCTGTTTCAGCTCCGCGTGCTGCCTCTCTTTGGACGCCAAAACCTGCTTTAGCGTGCTGATCTCCTCCTCCAGCTGAGCGCACACAGACATAAAGCTCATTGGAAACCAGAACAAAACAAAGTTTTTTGTGTGTACGTGCGTTTACCTTAAGCAGGTCTTGCTGAATTTCCTCCCTCTCCTCCTCCGTCATGACAGAGTTGTTCAGATTGACATCGGACACCAAATCTTCATCGGCCTCCTTCAGCGGCTCAGAGTCCAGAAAACCTAGTTTGACACACACACACACACACGCACGCACGCACACACACACATACAGGAAAACAGAAATGTAAAAAGTGAGCAGACATTTAGATGTTCTTCCACTTTATTGGAAGAGGAACTCGACTCACTTCCAATTTTTCTAACTTCATTTCTTTAAACTCATCTGCTGAAACAATGACTGTAACCCGACCCCATCCCCGGGTCGGTGTCTGCTGTATCATGTGTCAGAGAGGAAGTACTCCCACTTCTTTGTTGACTGTAAACTGTCCAACACCGTGTCCGTGTCCACGTCTCTGTCTCTGGTAGTTATGCAACCCCTGGCTGCTGCATGGATGTTAATCTGGCTTAACTAGTATGGATTATCTTGCTTTGACTCTGCTGACAAACACTGCTGTCTGACACAACAACTCTTTGCTTTTCAACTCAAATACGCGATACGAGATTGATGTTTAGAGTAAAACATTTTAAATAAATGTTAAAATGACACCACTGTTAAGCACACGTGCATTCTGGGAGTATTATCACTATCCAGTGCAACTCCAGTATGTAAGAAAATCATGATCTCTGGTAGGGCGGCACAATATATCGCAAATATATCGTTATCGCGATATCAGCACGCACAATATGCATATCGCAAAGAACAGATAAATATCGCAACGAATGGTCAGCTCAAATGTTTGCTACACATAACGCATTCTGTCAATCAGACGGAAGAATTATGTTTTTTTTAACAAATAAATAGAGCTCTTCACCCATTTGGCCAAATGGGTGGGTTCTCATAGCTTAGATGCCCGCCCCCGAATGTGGATGGCACTTCATTTAGATGTTGGCAAACACCTGAGTTAGCTTAGTTCTGCTCTTTTTGCTGAATCTGCTTTTCCCGGGATCCACGGATTGCCTTTTCTTGTTCATTTTCTTTTTCCCTTTCCTTCCCTTTAGCTTTTCTCATTTTGATGATTTTTTATTTTTGATCATTTTTGTTCCTGGGTTAAGTTTTTATTTATCGCAAGTAATATTGTCATCGCAATATTAATCAATGTTATCGAATATTGCAGGTTTTCCTAATATCGTGCAGCCCTAGTCAGCTCAAATGTTTGCCACGCATAATGCATCCTGTCAAACGGAAGCATGATTTTTTTTAATAAATAAAAAAATAAATAAATCAAACAAAGCTTTACCCATTTGGCTGGGTTCTTATACATTACATGCCCGCCCCCGACACTTAATTTGGATGGTTAGCCAACACCTGAGTTAGCTTTGTTCTGCTCTTTTTGCCGATTCTGCTTTTCCCGGGATCCACTGATTGCCTTTTCTTGTTCATTTTCTCTTTCCCTTTCCTCACGTCTTTTGCTTTTGTCATTTATATGATTTTTTAGTCATTTTTTATTTGCTTGTGTTTGATTATTTTTGTTCCTGAATTAAAATTTTATGTATCGCAAGTAATATCATCATCGCAATATTAATCACTGTTATCGCCCATCGCAGGTTTTCCTAATATCGTGTAGTCCTAATCTCTGGTTATGTGAAATCACAATTATTAAACATGTTTATCCACCAAGTCGGTACAATCCAAGGGGGGAACCTGACCTGAAATCAACCAGGAAGTGACAAAAATTGCAGTTTGAAATCATGGATCTGCACCATTTTAGCAAGATGTTAAGAAACAAAAGCTAGCGTACCTGCAGTGAGGTGTCCTCTGTCTTCATGAGGCAGCATTAGAAGACATATGAGGAGACATGAGGTCAGAAACACTGATCCACAGCTGGGACAACAAACCTACCGACTGACCAGGGGCCTCATTTATAAAGCTAGCTTACGCACAAAACGGGGCTGGAAAGCTGCGTAGGCAACTTTCCACGCAAACTTTGGGATTTATGAAAGAAAACTTAGCGGAAAAATGTGCGCAGCTTTAAGTTAACTAAGGACCTGGCTTACGCACATGTTGGACATGGAGAGCACCTGCAGTGCTGCTGCCGAGGAGGATAAAATTATGAATTCCTGCAGCATCATCACTTGTACCGCTTTGTGCGCACACAGAACATGCCCCCCCACCCCCACCCACACACATACACACACACAGTCTGAAGCGCAGAATACTGACCTGACGAGCTTAAGTACAGTTTTAGTAAGGATTCTACGCAACATTTTATAAATGAGACCCCATGGCTTTAAAATCAAAGGTTACAAGTTGCCCAGCAGCATTTAAAGCAGCCAGAACACACACACACACACACACACACACACACACACACACACACACACACACACACACACACACACACACACACACACACACACACACACACACACACACACACACACACACACACACACACACACACACACACACACACACACACACACACACACACACACACACACACACACACACACACACACACACACACACACACGACAGCTGAGGTTTACTTTCTTTTAGTAACGGGTTATTTCTGCTAACAGCAGGAGGACAATGAGACTCTTTAACCCCTGCAGCTCACACGGAGGCTTTCATGTCAAGTACATCAAGTATTTGTTCCCGTTTACTCAGACACGAGAAGGTTGAATAAAAACAGTCAGAGGGGAGAGCTGGAGCCTTCTAGTTGGAGGTTTGAACTTTCTGACATTAACCAAGGCTGAAGTTAATCTACTCTCTAAACTCAAGTCTAGTCTACGTCCCTTTTCACCTGAACTGTCCAGCTGCAAATCCCAGGTGGTGGACATGTCCCAGTTGTCACAGTGGGACACGGACGTGTGGGTCCAACAATCGTCCTCTCGTGACGAGCTCTTAGCCCCATCTGACAGGGTTTCCCCGTTTTGGACCATTGGAGTCAAATCGTCCTCATGCGACCTCCTTGGGACTGATTCTCGACCAAAGGAGTAAAACTTATTCAAACCTGAACAAATAATGATTATTATGAATAAACTTCAGTGTGGTCGATTTAATCTGATTAGCCAAAAATCGGACTTGTTTTCGTCTGCGTACACGATGAACTCACCACTGCTTAGGGACCGTTTTCACTAACATTAACATCTTCTATGTGGACGTTTTTGTATCCAGATTTGTAAAAACTGTCTTACTGAAGATCCTTGAGATGTAAACTGGTATCAGCTCCCAAGACCAGTACTGGTGGACCTGAATAGATGCAAATATCTCTCTTTATCCTCACCTGTCCTTCTCACACCCTACATCCCCTTCTCTCTCTATTCTACCTCATCAATACACAATCTCTCCATCTCCTTTTTTCCCCCCCAAAAATTTCAATTTCGGTCCTCTTCCTCCCCCCTCAATCTCCAACAATTATCCAGTCGGTCTCAGATATTCACACGTGAACTACTGAGCGTGTGTAAGAATGGAATTAATGTGATTTTCGTACGAGATTAAAAAGGTCCACTTTGCCTCTACTAGGGATGTAAGAAAATATCGATATGGCAATATATCGTGATATTTTTTCCTGCGATTATTACATCGATATTCAAAAGCCCTGTGTCTAATTCTTGAAAGAATTTACATGCAAACATTTGTGTATTTTCTTTTCGTTTTGTGCAATTCAATCACCACCCGCTAGTTGGCAGCAGTGTGCAACGGGTTTTGTTTCCACCGCTGAAATGTAAATCCCTCCATCATGGTTCAGATACCTCATGTTAAACATGTTACGTATCAGTTTGGACTGTTTATTGAACATTCTTACAATAAATTCAGTAAAAAAAATAGCTTGTAACGTCTGACTGAATGTATCGCAATATATCGTATCGTCTCCCCTGTATCGTGATATGTATTGTATCGCCAGAATTTCAACAATACACATCCCTGGCCTCTACTGTAAACCCTTTAGTCTAATTCCATCACTGCTGACACTCAAGGCCAGGTTGGGCCTGCTCACCTGGCTCTGGACGCACCTGAACTCCACACAGCAATTAACTCACATCAGGAAAACCTGATCATAGTACATTAAAAATGGAAAACTCTTCTTTTTTTTGTGGAAAGGAATGTAATAACAGGTGCAATGATCTGCCAGATGACCCATTTGTTTGTAGCTTTCATGAAGTAATTAACATATTTAGTGAAAGGCTCAGAAAGTAAACACTGGAGGTTTACAACTGATTAACCGCACACGCCTAAGGCCCTGTCCACACGTAGCCGGGGATCTGCCAAAACGTAGATATTTTTCTACGTTTTGGCCTGTCATCCACATGAAAACGGATCTTTTTAAAAACTCCGGCCAAAGTGAAGATCTGCGTTTTCTCCGTTTTGGGTGTCTGCGTGTGGACGGACAAAACCGGAGTTTTAAGGTCCGCAACGTCACTTTCCGCAACAAAAAAATGCTGACATCACGTGTGCGACCTGTGTTTACACTAGCCGACAGCATGGATGCCCTCAGAGCTGCGCTCGCTTTATCAGTTGTCCAAGCACATTGTGCTTGTTTGTTTTTGCAAGAGGAATTACTGCTCCTTGCCGAAGACCACAGACGAAGGACGAGGTTAAGAACGGGGGAAATACTGCCGCCTACAGGTCTGGCATGTCCTTAACAACGTATTTATCCGGGTACGTGTGGACAGAGTTACTTTTTAAAACGAGGTGGTGTGGATGCAAGTTTTTGGAGGGGCGGATATTCGTTAAAAAAAAAACCCCGGCTACGTGTGGACTACGCCTCAGTTAGATTGAGCTAAAACTGCATGTGGTGGTAGCTGGGAGCAGGGGCGGCGTTAGGCCCGGCTACTTGGGCTGAAGCCCCGGATGTTTAATGAAAAGCCCCGGATCTAAATCATGGAAGTAACATGCAGTACCAAAGTCCAACAGAGAGGGAGCAGCTGGCAGTAGTTTGTACACAGCCTGCCTGAGCCTCCACCACTGAAGAAGAAGCCCTTCAGCAGCCGGCTTCTTCTACACTCTCTGCCTGAAACGCATGAGTGAAGATGGACATGAGGACGTTTTTTAGACCAAAAGTACGGCGACAGAACCCCAGCTTTGATGAGACTGGTGCTGACTCAGGTTTGTGAGTCTTATTTGAAAATATTTGTTGTGCTGCTGGTTTGCCTAAAGTTAGCTTACTATCAGGTAAAGTTGTTGGAGAAAGAAAGGGAATATTTACTATCATCTCACACTAAACACTAACAGGAACAATACTCCGTCCTGATTATGGTTAATATGTAGCTTAAAAATGATGTGGTACAAGACATGTATGATGTTGTTGACTAGTGCGTGTCACGTGTGTGCGCGCACGTACGTGCATGTGTTAAGCCCCAGATCTTCTTCAGTCCTAAATCCGCCCCTGGCTGGGAGTCAGAGAGCTAACTGATCACACCGCGCCTTCCATTACTGACACTCAGCTTTCCAGATATGACTAAAACGACTAACTTGATTGTTTCTCTACATTGCCACGTACAAAATTAGATTATATTTGTGGAAGAAAACATCTAATCTTATCAGATAAAGGCCCAACGAGAACTAGTGCAGAACGATTGTTAGAATAACCTCGAAATGCAGCTTCCTTTGACAAATTTAATTGATTTTCTTCAGTTTCACAAAAGCCACGTCAGTAAATGAAGGCTCTGCGAGTTCCCACTCCCTTCAAAACACTCATGACTGTCTCATTGTCTTCCATTTTGTTAACTTCCTCACTCAGTGCACGCTCACACTCCTCCTGATTGTTTGCTAGGTCAACACTGAATCGCACAGAAGCGGCTTCTGAAGCAGACCTCTCAGCTGGATCAGTGACGCATTTCTGTGCTTCAGTGTAGATTTGTTTCATTTCACCGGGAGAGTCGAGATCTTCTTACCCAGCTCTCCCTCATGTGTGGCTGAGTTAACCCATTCCTCCCCGGGGCCCATCATGCCCCAGTCCACCACCGCGTCACTCAGAACACTAGAGTATAACTCTGCAGCACAGCAAGGCAGCCGTTTGAGAGGAAACAAGCAAAACAAGAATGCAGTTATTTACACACAAACTGAGAAACGTGGTAGCTCCTGCATCTGCTCCAGCCATGCCTGACGCAGAGAGGTGTGTGTTCGCTGCACTTTGTGTTTGCACAGGGACGAGAGAGCTGGCATTTCACTGAACAACAAACAGGACATACTTGATTCCTGCCATCTGATCTTGCAGATAGGAAACAAGCGGAAGATTTAAAACAAGAAGAACGAAGATAGAAAATCTGAGTTGTTCTCAGGCTGCTGATGAAATCTCATTACGCCACGCTCTGACGCAACAGACCAGCATAAAAACTGGTTTACTCACAATCTCTTCTTTCTAGTTCCACATATGAACTTGTAAGCAGATTGTATTTATGGAAGTAAAACAAAAATCACTGAATTTTACTGTGAATTTAAACAAAAACGTAGACGTACGCACCAAAAACGTCCAACTGGTGATCAGCTTCACGAGCCCGGCTTAAATGTTTAATCACAGAACAACCCCTCTCTTCTTCACTGTTCACTATCGTTTTCATTGATGTGAATACCTTTGGTCACAAGACTACAATTTGGCCCAGTGGTCATGAGGACAAGCTAAATCAGAGGGCTGAAGACGGTCATAAGGCTGGAAAGAGAAAATCAATTAAAGCTGGACCAGAAGTTGAAGCTGTACAACACACAACAGCTAAAACTTTAAAGAGCAAGTCACCCCCAAATAAACTTTTTTTTTTGCTGATAAACTAAATAAACGAGTGTCTAATCGTGCTGCAGACACGTGTCGTCAATAATTTGGCACTTCAGTGCATCTTAGTTAAAATTTAAATATTCTGCCTAAAACTGGCAGTGTTGTGCCGTCGTCAGGTAAAAACTCTGCACTGTATTTGAATTTAAATCTGCCACCGCTATTGGCTAAGAGGTATGCTATGATGTTAACTGGTACATTATGATGTCACAATGCTGGCGTGAGCCTGTGTGTGTGTATTTGTTAGCAGCTCCGCCCTCTCGGTCTGCCAGGCAACAGCATGTGTTGCATTTTCAAACATGAAGTGGGAGTGGAGTTAGACTCTGGTAGGGGGTGACTTGCTCTTTAAAATTCAGATGGGCTCGGGTTTTAATTATTTCATAAACAACAACTAACCCATTTTGGAAGGGAGTGTTCCCGGAGTAAGTCCACATCATCTTCTAGCAATAAAGAGTCTTTTGCTCTAACTTCACTGTCACAGCCTCCTTTGCTTCCGGTTAGCTGAAAGCTGCCCATTTAGTCCTGGAATGCGGTTCCAAACCAGGATAAACACGCCTTTATCCCGCTGAGCGCTCACGTGTAACGGTGATCAGATGTGTAAACATGGCCCCAGACAGAGATAAGCACGGCTAAATAACATTTAGTAAGTAAAAAACAATAAACACACAACTTCGGCGTTAAAAACACAAAGGGCACGCACTTTTAGGGGCATTTCTATCCAACCGGAAGTGGAAATACAGGATGCAAATAGCAGAATAGATAGAGAGAACTCTACAACTGCGTCTAACTTTCAACGCCTTTGTCCCCGTTTGTTCGTCCAGATTAAACCGGTCAAATTAAACCTTTACAGATGACAAAAACAAAACGCGGTCACCTCGAGGCTGCCGACATAATTATTTGTGTTTCTAACGGTCAGTAAACAAACCAGTGAGGTTATTATCACACGTACAGTTAACAAAAGTCACGTTATTTCAACTTTATTTGAATAGTGTCGTGATTATTAACGGAGGCTGACGCGCACTCACCTTGTTGTGGTCTGGTTTCCATCAGCGACACTCAAGTGAACTCTCCAGGTAACCTTCAGGGACGCCCGGCAGCAGCAGCACCGCTAGCTGAGATCAATAACACGCCGACGGAGGAGGAGGGGTTCTGTAGATGTCACGCGCCCGGCAAACTCGTGGGTGGAGCTTGGGATGGCAGCCAATAGGATCGCGTGTTTGAGATTTTTACAAAATCGCGTCCAGAGACAACAGCCATTACATTATGACCACCTGGAGGAAGGCTTTTGACAGTGGGAAACAGGATAATATTTTGACTTTAAAGAATATATAGAATATTTTAAAATGTATAACATAAAAATTATATTTTATTATTTATTTTATATGTTTTGATTGAGCAGTTTACACGCATTATATGGAATTTAATTGCATTTGTGTAAATTTGTTTTGACTTTATAATTATTTATTGCACGATTTCCACATTCTAAAGCATTAGGTTAATTCTCTCCTAATTATTTTGTAGGTAAATGTGAGATTTTAAGTTTATATACCAGTTACACCACCACAGGAAGCCACACAAAAACAATATAAATTGACCAACAAAAATGACAAGAAACCATTTTATAGGGCTATGTAAATTATTACATAAGAGAAGTTTAAACATATTCTAGAAAAACGTTTTAGCAGTAAATGCAGCATGATATGACTGCGTGAAATCAGGAAAGAAATTAGTGACAAATCTGTTACTATTTCCACAAACATTTCATAATTTAAAACAACTAAGAATTGCTCGAGTTTTCATTAAAATAGGTTTAGATTGCAGTGAATGCTCACTACTTTGTGTAACGTTCTGTCATAGTAAAATTGTATTACTAATCCATCATTTTTGACAGATATGAGGCAAAACTCTAGATTAAAAGCAACACCTTATTTTTTTTGCAATATGCGACTCTTTAGTAACATACTGCAAGTTTTCTATTTGAGAGATTAGAAATGACTTGATTTTAATAAAAGCTTTGCACATAGTAAAGGGCATTGTCTAAAGTAACCAAAACACCACGATAAATCTATTTAAATAACTCTTTATTAGAAAGCAGCTTCTCGTTTTATTGGTTTCTAATGAAATATTTTTATTGATAGCTTTGTACTGGACATATGAATTTTCTAGAATTTAAATAGTTTGTTTTTAAATTAACATTTAAAAATGCAAAGTCTGAAAATGTAAATCTTACAGATCTGTCTAAATTATATTTAGAATGAAAAATTAATGTCTCTTTCGATCATAAAAGTTTATAAACTCTGTTCCATGTTGTTGAAGGGAAGATATTATGATAGGCATTTGGTCATTATGATGACGGTTTGGCTCTACCATTCTAACAAATGGTTGCTTCCTGTGGTGCAATAATGGCCCCTACTGGCAGAAACATTAAATCACAGTTGAATTAAACACAAGTCGGACACAATTAGCATTAATTCCATTTATTTTCCTCCAGACTCTCTCAAACAAAACAGTGTTTGTGTCCATCCGTAACATTTGCATGTATTTCTGACAGCGGCAGCAGCTTAAAGAAAACTTTATTTGGTGCAAGGTTGAACGTTTCTCAGTAAGAGACTTGGAAACAAGTTGGTAAATTATGCACATACAGGTTTTTTCAACAATTTTGCCCATCAAAAGAGTGAAAGTCCACCACGAGGTGCTGATAAATCCAGTCTTCTTTATTTCTAAATAGAACTAAAGCTGCTATATTCTCCATAACTCGCTATCGTCCTCTGCTGTAAGGCACAGCCCTCGGTGTAGTTTCCTGAATCCCGTCTGATCCTCGAGGCACGGCTCATGAGTGTTGAGCCAAAGTAAAGTGACACGTTCACATGTGCAAATTAATAAGCATTTTATCTTTAAGGGTGCAGTTTACATTCTGGACTCTCAAGACGTAAAACCTGAACGCGCTTCTGTCCTCAGACACACTTAACAGTAGTTCTGTACAGTTTTCTCTCATTTTTGGCTTTTTAAATCATATCAGCTGATGGCTTTCTTTGATGAAGGCTGGTCGGTGAGAGGCTGAGCCCCTCTCATGAGCACTGAAACGTTCGCCGAACCACAGGTTGGTAATCTGATCTGTAGTCGCAGTGAAGGCACCGGTTATGCTGATATCACCGGGGTTGTCATAGAAACAAACATTCGTCAGAAAGGGGAAAATCATTGCCTGATTCATTTGCATAATTATTTTTTTTTAAATTAATGATTCCAGACGTGCATGGCAGCAGGAAGTCATTTGGTTACTGGATTAGTTTTATGGCAGCAGATGAATCAGACCAGTTTCAGCCATGGGCGAGGTCCTGAGTCATTAACCCTGATAGTCATTTGACTCCAATAAGGACAACTTCAGTTATAACATTTGCAACATCTCAATAAAAAGTAGTCATTAAACATGACAGCGTTGCCGAGTTAAAAATGTGCAACCACTGAACTACTTTAAAGCAGGTTGTAACTCCCAAATCCCAGGTTTGACCGCTGAGCAGTTTCCACAACCCAGCTGGGTTCAGACCAGGAAACGCAGTCAGAGCTGGCCACGCGCTTTTGTCTGCAGCTCTCACTCTCTTCCTGGAATTTCACACGGTTGCTAGGCAGCAGCTGGCATCTGCATCAGGAAGCGTTTCCCCATCTGTGTTCAGCGATTCCTTTGGCACAGCTCGTCGAGGAAGGGCTTTGGGTTCTAATCCCCTGAGAGAGGGCTCAAACGCGGTCAGAACACCGCAGAGCCACAGAATCAACGTCTTTGTTTTGGACACTTTGGGGTTCATTTCCAGGTGTTTTGGTTCCTCGGGATGAAGCTTGATTGGTAGCTCAGATTTAACCGCAAACGTATCATCTTGTCAGCGCAGATCTGGTTTTCTATACCTCTCAACTGAAACGTAAACCTGTAGCGCACGAGCGCTGAAACACAAGCAGATCGGTAGGATCAACATAAAAAACAAACACGTGGCTGATTGGGAAATCTAGCATTTTGAAGGAACATGTGAAGCTCAGCGCAGCGCCCACAAATATCACCAAATTACTCAGTTGGTAAAATATAAATAATTAAAACGGGAAGAAAAGCAGGGTGAGAGGAGGACAGACGGCTGACGCCAGGCGGTGACCTTTAGAAAATCTCTTGCTGGCCGAGCTCCAAATGTGCTCTTCTTCTTGTGTCACCGTGGAGACGGAGTCTCCCTGGGATGTGAATGTTTGGGACAAACGGAGAACATTTCCAAATGTCTCCAAAGTTGCAAGGTCGTTAAAAAAATACCATTAATTTTTTAATTAGATTAGCGGAGTCTGAAACTCGCAATGCGAGAAAACTTTGGTTGGAGACCAAACTGCAAATAAAATAAGACAGAATTAATAAGAGATGCACTGATTTTGATTTTGAGGGCCGATGCCAATTTTTTTTTTGTTCAGCTGCCGAAACCATTTTTGCCTAATTCCTATTTATCTCAAATAATTTAAAGTAAGTAAAGTTAAACTGACGTTAACATCTATGTAAAAGTGTTTGTTAAGCTCGGCTTAGCCTGCAGCAGCCATAGAAAGAAATGAGTTCCAAAAGCATTTTATTTTGGCACAGCAGCTTTCGCTTTACCTTCTGATGACACCGCATGTGGGTGGAGCCTGAACAACATGTGAACAACAAAGAACGAGACTACGGAGGTAGACGGGAACCGAGAAGAGCAAAAACCCAAAACAACAGGTGGTTTTAGCTAATTAAGCCATTTTATTTTGGTGTCTCCCAGTTTAATCTCTACGTGTGTGTTTGTTTTTGAAACCCACGTGTCACCGTCGACTCCGGGCACACACCCAGTTTTCAAACCTTCTATCAAAAATCTGAGATTCAGGTTAGTGTCGGGTGTCGCGCGCCCTTTTCAGATGAGTTTCTCCAGAGTGTCTCACATTTCAGTGGAAACTTTCAACAAACAAGACCCGAGTCTCCTTCAGCAGGATGAGAAATCAATTCATTTCTCCGTTATGGCTTGTTTTATAAATGTGGCGTCGAACGCCAAATTCTTCCAGCACCAACAATAACCACAAAAGGGAGAATTGTTCCTTTATAGGTCTGATATTTTCCACCCACGAGGCCTTGTGATTACTGTCTGTTTCCGTAGCAACTAAAGCACCTTTAAAGCCGTTTGCATCAGCGTCTAACCAGTGCAGATCGATGCCAACAGAACATTTGCAGTGAAGTCAGAAACCTTTTCATCAGACACCGCCTCTCTTAACCTGCGGGGTCCCACAAGGTTTAGTTCTAGGGCCTCTACTATTCACGCTTTATATTCTTCCCCTAGCTGGCATCATTCAGTCTTTCCCAGACATCTCCTACCACATCTACGCTGACGATATTCAGCTCTATATGTTCTTCATGCAACACCAGTTGGACAGGCTGGCCACCCTTGTACTCTGCCTGACCCAGATCAGTAACTGGCTGTCCAGCAACTTTCTTGTTCTCAACGCTAACAAGACAGAGACCCTGATCGCTGCACCCCCGCAACTTCAGCCAAAAATCGAGCAGGAAATTGCCTCCTTTTGCCCATCAGCCAATGCCAACATTAGAAACCTAGGAGTTATTTTTGATCCAGCTTTAAGTTTAGACTCACACGTCAAAACCATCTCCCGCTCTTGTTTCTTTCACCTGAGAAACATTTCAAAAGTCCGTAAACTGGTTTCTACTGCAGATCTGGAAAAAATCATCCATGCCTTTGTGTCATCACGCTTAGACTACTGTAATGCTCTTTTTACTGGTCTCAGCAAAACCTCCCTCTCACGCCTTCAAGCCATCCAAAATGCAGCAGCCAGATTCCTAACCAAATCCAGCAGACGAGCTCACATCACTCCAGGTTTACAGTCCCTCCACTGGCTCCCGGTAGAATATAGAATACAGTTTAAAGTTTTAGTCCTGACCTATAGAGCTCTTAACAACCAGGCTCCAAGCTACCTATCTGAGCTTTTATCCCCACACACCACCTCTCGGAACCTTAGATCCACATCTGAAAACCTCCTGGCTGTTCCTCGAACCACACTGAAAACCAAAGGGGACAGGGCCTTTCAGACTATTGCACCCAGACTTTGGAACAGTCTGCCTCCAAAACTGTAGAGGTCTTCAAAAAACATTTAAAAACTCACATTTTCATCCAGGCGGTCCTCCCCTGCTAAATATTCAGAAAGATGGCTTTGTCTCTCCCCCTCGTCCTGATGGACACCCCCGTCACCACTGTGGACTCCTTCCGCTTCCTCGGAACCACCATCACACATGACCTTAGGTGGGAGTCATCCATCAGCTCCCAGATCAAAAAGGCCCAGCAGAGGATGTACTTTCTGCGGCAGTTGAAAAAGGCCAAGCTGCCGGCCCAGATGATGGTCAGTTTTACACGGCCATCATTGAGTCCATCCTCACCTCCTCCATCGCTGTGTGGTACGCTGGAGCCACAGTGAGGGACAAACACAGACTGCAGCGCATTGTGCGCTCTGCTGAGAAGGTGATTGGCTGCAGCCTTCCATCTCTCCAGGACCTGTACGTCTCCAGAACTCGGGGGCGTGCAGGTCGGATAGCAGCTGACCCTTCTCACCCGGGTCACAGACTTTTTGAGCCGCTTCCCTCAGGCAGGAGGTTACGGTCCATCCAGACCAGAACCTCTCGCCATAAGAACAGCTTCTTTCCATCTGCCGTTAGACTTGTGAACAGCTTATAAACACACAACCATGCCCGTCTTCGGTACTTGACATAACGTCACGTTATCGGCCATATTACCTTTACCTGACATTTTTTATAGCAAAGTTTTATGCTAGTTTATTATATTTTATTCTATTTTTTTATTATATTATTCATGTCATATGTAGCACGTTAGTACCGAAGCAAGTTCCTAGTTTGTGAATCGTTTGTTCACTAACAATGGCAATAAACCTTTTCTGATTCTGATTGTCTTTGTTCACGCCTTGACTTTGTTTTTACTCCTGATTTTGTTTACTATTGTTGTCACTGCTATTGTTTTTTAAGATCTGTTGTTATCAGTTTGAGGTATTTGCCCTAATTTTACTCATGTTGTACAGCGCTTTGTGATTCATATCTGCGAAAGGCGCTCTATAAATAAACTCTTACTTACTTACTGATGCCTCCTAAAGAGCTAAAATAAACCCGCAGTTTGGTTCTGTCAATAAACGTGACAAATCAGAAATGAGAAAGAGTCTACATCAAGTGTTGGCTAGCAGGAGTGTGCTTTAGCTGACGGAGGACTTAAAGCAAATCAAAAACTCCTCAAAGCGACGAGCGCCACTCGACACGGCTGCTTCAATGTTCAGCTTAATAAAATCAAAGTCCGATCTTTTCCCGTCTTTCAGCCTCTCACTAAAGCGCTCTGTGCCCTAAAGCGGTCCCATGCAGAATAAATAAACTACGTCATAATGTGCAAACATCAAAGGTGTGTCTACACAGTCTCCGACCCTCTGAGGAGTTGTCTCGGGCTGGCATGGGGCGTCCCTGAGGAGACGTGGGTGTCGTCTTTTTTCGCTGAGTGAGCGTGGTTCTGGAGTCGGAGGAGGTCAGATCCACCGTCCAGAGCCTTGGGTGTGCTGCTGCTGCTGCTTCTTTCTCCTCTTGCACGCGTAGTAGACCGGAAACGCAACCAAACCTACGGAAAAGAAAGGAATCATTAGGAGAGGTGAATAGACCCATCCTTTAAGTAATTAACATTACATTCTCAAACATTTGCAGATTTTGGAAGCAAGTGATCCTTTCATTTTGCTCTTAGTCTAGATCAGTGGTTCCTAACCTGGGGGTCCCGACCCCCACAAGGGGGCGCCAAAGCCTCTCAGTGGGTCGCCAGGACCTCTCCACTTTAAGGGGTTAAAACTTCATTTATTACTTGTTTATAGCCTACATTTTGCTCACATTTTTTTTTCATGAGTGAAAAGTTTACTGATATTAAGACAGGAAATAATTAGTACAGAAAGAGTAACACACTTTTAAGAACATTTTGCTCAGCTCACGGTTTTATTTTCAAGTGTCAAAAGTTCATCAAAGATAGGACTGGTTGATTAATCACAGCCTTTACAGTAAATAATCTAGTATAAACAGTAATATACACATTTAAGCACATTTTGCTCGGTGTATTTTTTTATGTGTCAAACGTTTATTGAAAGGAATGATTGATTTATCAGTGTTTACAAGAAACAATGTGTTCAGAAAAGTAATACAAACTGTCAAGCACATTATGCTCTGTTTGGTTTTGTTAATGACTTTGTTCTGTACTGGAGCCTACTATTACTGTTGAATCAAAGCATATTAAAATGTGCTTGAACAATTTTATCGTTTCTTAATAATGTTTGTACTGGAAGAGAGAATGGGGGGGGGGGGGGGGGTCGTCAAACATTTTACTGGTAAAAAACGGGGTCCCTTGGGAAAAAGGCTGGGAACCACTGGTCTAGATTATAGAGATTTAATCTGGATACTCCATAGAAAAGCAGATTTGTCCCATGAGAAATGAACCGAGCTGAAAAGGAGAGTCTGCTGCACATCGCTGACTCGATTAAAGTCGATGTGAATCGTCCATCACATCATATTAGTGTTCAGAGGATCATCAGCCTGATAACACAGGAAAGAGATTCGCTCCAATTACAGTCCAACTGAAGCACCAACAACTCGATAGGTGGAAAATGACTCAGCACAAAGTCTGCAGATGGATGATGAGCCAAATGCTAATCTAAGAAAGGTCAGTGACCCAGAGGGTCATCGTCTGCATCAGCAGCTTTTGCATTTTCTAAACTAAGAACGATTTTTTTTACAGGAAACACAAAAAGACGCATCTGCAGAAGGTGAGAGGAGATATTCGGTATCTGAGGCTCAGGTAAGACATGTAGCACTTCAGTGTTGATGACTCGTGTGTGGCTGTGTTACCTATCACCAGAGCGAGAGCTCCCAGCACTATGACCAGCAGAAGGACCACTGGAGCTATCAGCACCTTGGAGGCTGCGTGGACACAACAAGGGTTAGAAAAGCAGGAGACGATCGCCTCCACCTGCAGAAACGTGGCGTTCATTAAAATGCTAAATGTCAGGTGCCACCAGAGCCTAGAGCGGGAAATGGCTCTTGTTAAGGGACAAATCAGCTCCTGGGTGGCAGGCGCCATGCTGATCTAACTAACCACGGCTTCCATGGTGAGTGGAGGAAAACGGATAAGTCAGGAGTCCAGCTTCCTGGAACCATACAGCATCACAGATCCGATATCTGTAGATTATTAATTACGAATAAGACAAAGTTTCTTTATTTCAAAGCTGCTCTGTTGAAAAAATGTTCAATCTGAACAAGTCCAGTTCACCTGGGTCAGGAAAGCTCGTCACCATCTGAATATATCTGGTATTTTAGAGAGGCCAGGTCAAAGTTCAGACAGTATTATTAATGTAAATACGAAGAAGAACCTGAAACAGAAAAGATGTCGGGTGAAATTCATTAAAAATTATTTTGCATAGAGGGTTTTAAAAGTCATCCGGAAGACTCGTGTTTATCATTTGGCTTTTACGTAATTTATTTTGTTTTTAACCCCTTTTAACCTTTGTCCTGTTATTTGTCTGTTTTTATTTTTGTGGTATGTTGCATCCAGTGCCTTGGGCTCCCGTAAAGCCAGTAGAAGGCGCTATATAAATACAATTTGATTGATTCGATAAATAAAAATATAAATATTTGCATCATCATCCTACAATGCCTTGCACGCTCCAAAACACGACTGGCCCCCTTACCTTAAAAATTGTTTGAAAACAGCTAAGACTGTGTGAATAAAAAACATTTTTGGAGTCTATAACTGTTTTCATGTAGCGGAGATTCTTTGTAACATCTTTGGAGAAACTTGTCTTTATAATCAGGGTTCCTTAAAGAGACTACGTGTAGTTTTCACCATTCATTTCTGGAAATATCCATCAAACTGTTGTTGAAAATGAATTAAATGATGCCCAGTTCTTGAAAAATGTTGGCGGCTTTGTAACACACAGCCATCAAAATCAGGTCTAAAATACACGGGAGTGGGTCTAAGTCTCTGGGCAATGACATATTAGACGCCATGTTTCCTTCTACGGGAGCCCATGAGGACAAAATGCATTTACTGATTTGTAACAAACTTACAAAACTTTCACCATTCTTAAATGTTGTTGTTTTACGCGTGCACCTCTTCACTTGTTGCCAGTGATGAAAGGGAGTCTGATTTGCTTGTCATTTTGCTAAAGTTTGCACTCCCCAGGGCTTTTTGACCCTAATACACAAAAAAATACACACCGTCACTTTAAGGTTTTACTTATTTTATCGTTTCAAGACTTTCAAATATCAGTGAATATATTCCGGTTTTATCCTCATGAATTGATGGAAAACGAGACATTTTCTCAAGCACATGCGTGGATTTCTAACATCAGACAACGTGAGAATTTCCCCAGAACGGCCCCGCCCCCATATTCTGATTCATAAATGTTAAAGATCTAAATGTGCTAAACGTTAGGGATGTGAGAAAATAGTGATATGGCAATATATTGTGATTATGTAAGAAAATATCGATATGGCAATATCTCGTGATTTTTTTCCCAGCAATATTATATCGATATTCAAAAGCCGTGTTTCGGAAATATCGATATGGCAATATATCGTGATTTTTTCAGCAATATTATATCGATATTCAAAAGCCGTGTTTCGGAAATATCGATATGGCAATATATCATGATATTTTTTCCTGCGATTATTACATCGATATTCAAAAGCCGTGTATCTAATTCTTGAAAGAATTCACATGCAAACATTTGTGTATTTTCTTTTCGTTTTGTGCAATTCAATCGCCACCCGCTAGTTGGCAGCAGTGTGCAACGGGTTTTGTTTCCACCACTGAAATGTAAATCCCTCCATCATGGTTCAGATACCTCATGTTAAACATGTTACGTATCAGTTTGGACTGTTTATTGAACATTCTTACAATAAATTCAGTAAAAAAAAATTGCTTGTAACATCTGACTGAATGTATCGCAATATATCGTGATATATCGTATCGTCTCCCCTGTATCGTGATATGTATCGTATCGCCAAAATTTCAGAAATACACATCCCTGCTAAACATCATCGTTTTGTAACATGTTCTGTTTGGTGCAGACTCACAGAGCTACTGGTGGTGTTATGTAACATCTAAGTCTATTTTCACTGCTGCTACCATCACCGTGACCCTCAGCTGGGTGATGCAGAGCAGCCTTGTTTAGTGAGTCTGAATTGTGGAAGAAGAAAAAAAATCACAGAAAACAAAGCAGATTAAGAGAAAAGGAGAAGAAAGTTTTTTTTGCTCCATTTATTTTTAGAAATTTTAATAATATAATCTAAAATTTAATTAATATTATATGTGTTTTAATCATTTGTTCACTTGTGGGACGTGCAGAAAATAAACTTTCGTCATGATACGTAAACTTTTAGCACCACAGTCTGTTTGCCTCACATAAAAACACATCAGTGTTTAAAACAAAACAACTCACCACAGACAGAACCTCGAATTAGCCTACGGAGGTGAGGTTTGTCGGGGAGGTAACGATACTTGCAGCCAAACACGCTGAGGTTGGATGTGTGGTCCCCGAAAAACCTGAAGACAAATCAAATCAGAGACGTCCAAAAGTCTCAAATGGCAGATTTAGAGGGAAGAGAGAAGGGGATTCAAACCTCAGGTGTCTGTAACGCTCCCCACAGCGGTAACAGAAGTTGGTGTTACACTGTGTGCAGGTCATGTGATCACAGCCATCTATACGCTGAATATGGATCTAAAGATAGAGGAGAGAAAGAGAAATTCTCTGATGATTTTGAGGATTTGCTGCAGTAATTAATAAAAATAAATAAATCAACACAATGAATCAGAAATTATCTGATTGATCTCAAGGTGAACAGAATCAGAACGATACTAGTTTGATTGATGAACGTTTATCTGGTGAAACTGGTCATGTTTCCCCTTCTGCCAACAGATCTATTATTTGATTGCAGACTAAATAAAATGTAAATATTTAATAGTTTAATAATAGACATTTTTTGGATTAATATTTCAGTGTACTTAGTATAAAATTAACAGATTTATGCTTTCATGCTTTTAAAGGCATATTTGGCAGTTTTGCTTGCTTTTGGCACCCCCTAGTGTCAGCTATTAACTGTGGTTGAACTGAAAAAGAAACGTATCTCCTCGCTGTGCTTTCGTCTTTTTAACACCTTAATCTAACTGCTGAAATGTCTCCCCAGCCTTCATTAATGTCTACAGAAATTAATAGTCACTAAATTAAACAAATCAGCTGTGTTAATAATCTAAACCATGCAGAAAATGTGCTGGAAGGAGACTGCAGCACCAGGTATGTCAGCGTAATCTTTCTTTAAGTCCAACAGGTGGCGACTGCCAGTCTGAAGTTGCAAATGTGGTATTTCATTAACCCTGTAAAGGTTCATTTTAGTTCATACTGGCTCAAGAAAACGATTTAAAAATATGAAATGTTGCGTAGTATGGCCTTAAATTAGGGATGCACCAATACTGATATCGATACCAGTATCGGTATCGATAAAAGTTAACAGATACCAGGAACCGATACCAATGCAGTTGCTTGAAAATGGCTTCACTGTAACTTGTCATTTCTGTTCACCTAATATTTTCGTTTTGTGATGATTTTTATTCATATATTTTTCTTTTTATCTACCTCACAGGCTTTTCCTGTTGAAAGCAGAGAAGAAAATAAAATCTGTATTCCAAATCATTGCATTTTTTTTTTTGTGGTAGAAGTATCAGTATTGGTAATCGGTATCGGCAAGTACTCAGATCCAAGCATTGGTATCGTATCAACTGGGGAAAAAGTATTATCGTTGCATCCCTACCTTAAACGCACAGGTTTAGGGAGCTACTACGGAAGTATATTACATAGTGATTACTATATATTACAGAGTCAGTGGGGGGAAAAAACTACAGGAGCAATAACACATGGGAATGCGATCTGAATCTCGTTTTAACAAGAAACTTTCTTGTGATAATGACATATAAAAGTCGTTTTAACCAGAAAGCTTTTGCAATAATGTGTTTAATATTTTGTAATAATTAATAAACTTTTTTTTTTACTTGTGCTGATTGGCCAGAATTAAGCCCCTGCTGTCCAGAGTACATCTAGAGTCTGTCACCCATGCTTTTATTCTTTCAAAGCTAGGCTACTGCAATGCATTGTGTGCCAGCCTGAGTCAGGGCGTGGTGGCACGCTTGCAGCTAGTACAAATTTTAGCCGCTAGGTTTGTGATACGGACTAGGAACAGGGACTTTATCACCCCTGTGTTGGCATCCCTTCACTGGCTGCCAACACAATACAGGGCAACATTTAAGGTCTTGGTACTGGCATACAAGGCCTTACGAAGAACGGCTCGAGCGTATCTTGTCAGCCTTTGCATAGACGTGCCCCTTCGCTCGGCCAACATGGAGCTGATGATGGTTCCACGTACCACGTGCAGATCACGGGGGGACCGTGCGTTTTTGGTGTTAACGCCTATACTTTGGGACCGGTTGCCTTTGGTGGTGAGTCAGTGAGAACTTTTAAGACTCGCCTGAAGACCCACTTTTATGTCAAGGCATTCCAGGATTAGACTTCTTGGTTTCGTTGCCCCGGACTCTTATTCTTTTGCTGTATTCTATGTATTTATTGTCTGTTGTTACTTCTCTCTTAATTGTTACATTTTATTTGATGGCTTTATATTTTATTTGTTGAGTTCGGCGCCTTGGGCGTCCGCGTCGGTTGCAGAAGGGGCTACGCATAAAATGAAATGATGAGATAGCTCATAACGGTAAAACGCAGCCATCTAGTGGGCTGTTTGAATCTCGTCACGGAGTCAGAGAGAGCTTCTTTACACCTTTTTCAAGAAGCTATAATTCATTAGATACACACTTGGTTCAAGTTGGCTTCCACGTTGAAAACAAGGGAGAAAACAGCCCTCACGTGAAGTTCTTGTCCACGCAAAATTGCAATATTTCACTTTCTAGTAGCTAGCAGCTATCAAAATAAGACTTCCTGTTTGTGCTTTTTCACATTTAAAAACTTAGAAACTGAAATGTAAATCCCTCTATTATGGTTCAGATATCTCATGTTAAACATGCTAAATATCAATTTGGACTGTTTATTGAATTTTCCTTCAATGAATTCAGTCTATAAAATTGCTAAAATTGTCTGGCTGAATGTATCACAATACATCGTGATATACCCTATCGTCTCGCCTGTATGGTGATACGTATCGCCAGAATTTCACCAATACAATTCTTTGCATAAACTCCCTGATATTCTATTTGACTTGTTCTCTTTGTCTGGTGTTCTTTTATTTTTCAATCACCAGAACCCCTTCCTTTCACCACATCACCCCGGTTCTCCAGCAGCTTCACTGGCTCCCAGTTAAACTCAGGTCCATCTTCAAAATTCTCCTCCATACCTTCTAAGCAATCCACAACCTCTCTCCTCCATACATCTCAGACCTTATAAGTATTCACACCCCATCCCGTTCTCTCAGATCTTCTTCCATTCATCTTGCGGTTCCTTCTGCCCGTCTTGCTACCATGGGGAGCAGAACTTTCAGCCGCTCTGCTCCTCGTCTCTGGAACTCACTTCCCCCAGACATCAGGAACATCGACAGTTTTACCCTCTTAGAAACAAAACTCAAAACACATATGTTTAAATCTGCCTATGACCTCTGATTTTATTGAACTGTTTCTCTCAGTTTTTTTTTTCTTGTTTGGGTTTTATTATTGTTTTATTGTATTTTATTACGTGTTTTCTGTCAAGTGACCTTGGGTGTCCTGAAAGGCGCTTTTAAATAAAATGTATTATTATTATTATTATTATTATTATTATTAATTACTGGGAGTTGTTTTCAGATCAGAATCTGCCCTCACCAGAATCGGCAGGTCCGTATGTCTGATTTGAAAATCAGATTTCTTGCGATTGGTGGTTCTCTGTGAACTCAGGAGGGAAATCTGAAGAATGTATACACACACACAGAAAAAACACACGGGTACAGCTCTATCCGTGCAGCAGCACACGCATTACACAGCTGATGCAGCAGTGAGTGAGCAATCTTCCTGTAAATTGTACATCAAGCTAGTCAGACTTTTCTTCAGCTGAACACAGCATGACACCAATTTGTTTGCTTCACACACTCTGGCACAATCTTCTCTACAGGCCTCAAGGGAAAAGATTCAGAGACTCAAAGCGACGAGAACAAGAGAGAGACAGCATTTGGTGTTGGAGGAAAACAGCTTCCATTGCTTTATGTTGTCTCCTGTTTTTATCAGGTCAGTGAGATCGGATCCTGAAATGAACCTGGGTCAGTGAGGCCACCAGCAGCAGAAACAATAATTATTTCACTATAAGCACCATCTACACATCACTACCCTGCTGTTCAACATGCAGCCGCTCTCCTCCACACTCCATCCATCATCCCTAGCAGCTTTCATGCTTCTTAACCTTCAATGATTCACTTATCTGCACCCGCTCCACCACCCATCAATCAACTCGCGTTGCCATTTACAGACACAACTGGACACTGGACAAGGAATTCAGAACTCCTTAAAAACAGGTAAAGAAAAGTCGATTTCTCACCTTGCACTGTGGACATTTCTGAGCGTTCCTCTGTCCGTGCTCGATGACGCTCGCCCAGGTTCGCAGCAGCTTGTCTGCTTTCCTGTAGTCGCGACATTTCAGCCCATCATGCCAGGGCGCGTGGCATCTAAAGCACCACACAAACTGGCAACTGCTACACTGGATCTACAGCAGGGACAAAAGACGTGTGTGCAATGCATGTTTACTCCTCTAAACCAGACACACACACTAAAATGCATACAAGTCATCGGAAACAAATTGTTAAAGAAACAAACTGTTTTATGTTTTAGTTTCCTTACAGTTGGAGCTAGGGTTGTCACGGTAACCGGTGTAACGGTATACCCCGGTAAAAAAGTTGACAATAATAATAACCGTCTTGTTTTTAAAAAAACTATTATCTCGGTGGGTTTACCGTGGCTGCGGTGTAGGCGCGGTGACCCTTACCAGCCACCGTATCATCTGCTGAAGTTGCCGGCGGCACATGCGCACTTTGTTGTTTACAACCAAAACTTTCTTGAAGCTAAAGCTGAAATAATGGCCAAAGGAGGAGACGGCAGCACTCAGGACATTTATTATCCCTCAAAGAAGACAAAGTGGGAAGTACGGGCATCTTTTGGATATTTGAAGAATGCCGAGGGACAGTTGATAGAAGACGGCTATCCTGTTTGCAGCACGTGCAGAAAAAGTGTCTGTGAAAGGCAGCAACGCTTCAAATCTCATGACGCATCTGCGTGACCATCACCCACAACTCTACAGTCAACGCAAGGCAAGCTAACGTTAGCGTTTTAGCTAAAATGCGTGATCGGAGGATTTGGGTTGAGGGAGAATGCAACGAGTCGCTATATAAAGCAGCGCCGCTACCTGCATATAAACCGCGTCGCGGACACCACCATGTTGAAATGACGCTATGCATTACGGGGCTCCCAGGGGCAGATAAGAGTTGGTCTCTCTCAGAGAATAATTATGAATTTAACAACGATTACTGCCTGATGACATTTTCCCACATCTGCAAAGCTCACTGGAAGGACACAAACCGAGGACAATATTTTCCTGATATAGGGTTTATTACTCAAGTAGTATCTGATTAGAAGGCTACTTGAGTACTGAGTATCATCTGGTCTAATATTTTTAAAATGATGACATCAAACAGACATAAAATAAGAAGTTATGGGCAAATATTGGCATTTTAAAGACTAAAGGGAAAAAATGTAAACAAATAAACAACATAATTACAAAATAACACATTTTAGGCAAAATTTAGACACAAACTGAGGACAATATTTCCTGATATACAGGGTTCATTTATTTGTCTGAAAATGTAACACGTTTAAAAAAATACCGCGATAATACCAAAAACCGTGATAATTTTGGTCACAATAACCGTGAGCTTACATTTTCACACCGTGACGACCCTAGTTGGAGCGTATTTGAGATAATAATCCTTTGTGATCCGATCACATTTTAGCAAATTTAAGATATGGAAGCTGCTGCTGATATGTGGTCATACAAATGAGATTCAGGAGGAATGCAAGGAGCGTGATCCTACCTTGTATTTGTGCTCAGAGTTGTTCTGGTCGAGTGTCTTCAGAGACGTGAAATGGCTGCACTGGGGGCAGGGTTTTGTGCTCGAATCCAGCTGACTCAACTCCACAAAGTAGTGGTACTTCGCCACTTCTTCGCTGGTCAAAAGTGAAATCACCAATCCCTCCTCCAGAGTACCCCTACACCCGAAGATCGGACAGCGGATGACAACTTTACCCGGCTTCAACTGAAAAACGAAAGGAAAACAGTGTGTTAGCATTTTTAACATGGGTATTTTTGTTTGTTACAGGTCAAATATGTCAAGTATTTTCTGCTACTTTAGCTATTCAAAAGAGTCCGAGTGTGTATGTTGAGCAGTTGTATGTTTTTCTGGTACGCGCCAAATCTACTAGGGATTAGGGATGGGTACCTTTGACATTTGAATCGATTCGGTACTAATTCCCGGTACCTACGAATCGATACCGGTACTTAACGGTACCAATTTTAGATACTTTTGAGTGTTTATTATTTTAATTCTCCTTAATAATTACATATATTTTTCTCAATATATAACAATATTTGATAAATATCACGATAAATAACATACAACTGTTTTTATTAACATCGTCCTTGTAGTTTTATAAGCTGATAATTAAACTGAAGCAAACATCTTTACTGTGAACTAAATTTACTGTGTATCTTCATTCCTTTTGCCGTCCTTTTTCTTTTGATTTTTCCTACTGGGAAGTTAGAATTTCCGAGGAGAAAGCAAACGCACCATTAGCGAAACGGAAGCTAACATATCAAGGTAACGTTACCTTAAACATTTTATTGACCTACCGGAGCAGATTAAGATGAGGATGTCTCACTTAGATCGTTGTCTGTCACTGGTTTCATCATCACCCAGTTGCCCATCACATTTAGTGAAGTGGACCCAAGCTTTAGCGTGCGTTCTTTCTACCATGCTGCTCTGTTTACAACTCGCTCGCAGCGACCGACGACATAACGCTCTTGCGCATGCGCAGCTGTCTAGGCAAGTTCTCGTTATGAAGGACGGGTACCGAAACGAGGCACCGTTTGAAACGACGTGAATCGGTGCTCGGTCGGTACTGTGGAATTCGGTCGGTACCTTAAAAAGTACCGAATTCGGTACCCATCCCTACTAGGGATGCACCGATTAGGTTTTTTGCTGCCGATCACCGATACCGATATCAAAGAATGCTGATCACCGATACCGATCACGTGGATTGGCCAGAAATTTTCTACAACATTATAATGAGTGCTACAAACTACATAATCTGGGAATAAAGGACCTAATCTAAATTGATCTGGCTGATCGGTCTGCTTTGATCTATTTTGAAAACTCTGATCAAAACCGATAGGGGCGCTATCGGCCGATTGGGATCAAATGCCGATCCATCGGTGCATCCCTAAAATCTACATGCTGAAAATTCTCACTTCGCCGGTGGGACCTGGTGAATAATTCACCACAGAACAGAAGGATTGCAAAGCTGGATGAGTGGAAGGACGCAGAGCAGAGGGTGGAAGCTAATGTGCATCAAAAGACACACACACACCCCGAGTGCAGTCACTTCCATTAAGTGCAGCTTCTCCACGACTTGTTCATGCAATCTTCTAATCTCAACATTTGCTTTAAAGTGCACTAATACATAATCTGTTTGAATCATTCAGACAACTCAAGCACTACATGGACATGCTGCATTACCTGTGAGTTTCATCCAAAAATAAAGCACTTCGTGTGCTTTTTTCCCTCCTCAGGTCTTTTTTTTCTACATTCTTTTTCTGCCGTACTCTCCAGCTCCCTACTCTTTGTCCAACAATATCTAAACAAGTAATTTAATCTGTGATTATGTACATCATTGTAACGCGGCCCTGCAATAAATCCCCATGTTGGTTCTGAGGATGTTCCACCCTGTTTCTTCAGTGGCACGTGAAGAAGAAGAAGAAGAAAATATCATTTCTATAGCGCCTCTCAAGATAAAACTCACGAGGCGCTTCACAAAAACAAAAAAATATAAAAAAGCATTTAGAAAATGATTAAAAATATATTTAAAATGAGCAAAAATAGACAATTGTGATTAAAAAAATGTTAAGAAAGAGAGGGAGTGAATAGGAAAGAGGGAAATCAGTGGGGGAGTAGAGGGAGGTGGAGTGTACAGTCGGTAAAGATGGCTCTCCCTTGCCCTGCCTCCAACATGCCTCCATCTAAAAGGCTAGGTCATCCAGAGTTATCTCTGTAGTTATGCTGCTATAGGCTTAGACTGCTGGAGGATACACTGACCACTTTTCACACTCTACTGCTTTCTTCTACAATCTGCTCTTTAACTGTATTATTTCCTGCTATTTCAGCTGTTAACTTTATTTTCTCTCTAAGTGTTTTTCTCCCCAGAAGAAGCTACAACGATGTTCTGCTGAGCTGTGGTGGCCTCATGGAGGGGGCCATCGTCTAGCACACTGCTGCTAATCACTTAAACATTCTCCCTCTCCTGATAATAACTTTTTACTCTCTTTGACGTTGGATGTGCTACTATTAGCTTACCCGTTTAATTATAGATTCACTAGGATAAATACAATAAAGTTTATCTCTCGCCAAATAGAATATTTACTAAGCAATCACGGTGTAACCATGATATTAATGAGTTTTTTGGGTTCATTGAGAACATGGTTGTTGTTCAATAATAAAATTATTCCTCAAAAATACAACTTGCCTACTAATTCTGCACTCCCTGAATTGTTTCTTGTTTTTTATGGTATGCTACAAGTAAATTGTCCTTTGGGACCAATAAAGTTTTCTGAACCTGAAGGCGTTCTCTGACGTTTACTGGACGCTAAACTAACATCTGTCTTTCTCATCTCTAGTCATTGCATGGTGGCACAGTTGTTGCCTTTCAGCAAGAAGGTTGCACAGGGGTGGACCTTTAAAGCGCCCGAGTGCCAGTGGCGCTAAATTTTCTCGTTGGGCGGTAAATACTTGACGACTTACCGCCCGGGTGGCGCCCAAGCCTTGCTTGTCATTTACACACCGGCTTTCACCTACATCATGGCCGCGCCCTGTAGGAAGCCGCCGTTTTCATTTTGCGCACGTGAACCTGCACGCTCTAGTCACGTGAACTATGAGTTCACTATAAAAGACGGAGTGGAACCACGCTAGAAACACATAAGCACGCAGGAAGATGGCGCCACCACAGGGATGGGATATTTGACTCGATTTGGCAGCTGACCTGCGGGGCCGGTTGGTTTTGAAGTTAATGTCCACCCCTGTTGCAGGTTCTAACCTCGGCTGTGGCCTTTCTGCGTGGAGTTGCGTGTTCTCCCCATGCATGCGTGGGTTTCCTCCTGGTACTCCGGTTTCCCCCACAGATCACAACATGCCCTATCGGTTAAAAATTACACATCGCTTTGGATAAAAAGGTCTGCCAAATAAATAAACATAGTCATGACGGGCGAGTCTATAAACGTTAAGTGACATTGTGACGTGGATCTGTCAGGCTTTTCAAATCCTAGAGTTTCACCGTCTATTTTCTATCAGAAGCTAATGCAGGAGATCGGTGTAGGAGACCATTTTCAGGGTTTTCCTGCGTTCAAATTTGCGTGGCGGCCGCCTCTAGGTATTTTTGTGCTGCCCCAGCCTGATTTCACTCTGCCCCCAGTTATATGGATGTTATTTTAACTGCAGTTGCAGCATTGAGCCACTATAGGGGCGCTGTATCAGCAGCGGTGCACCGAAAAGCGCTAAAACCACTGCAGGAAAAGAAGATCAAAGATCGCTTTTCTTGCTAGTTGGTACATATCTATGGTTGGTGCAATGGTAGGCTGACCATAAGTCCTCTTTCCCCAGACATGTCCACTTTTCACTCTCTGTCCAGGTCGGGGGGGGGGGGGGTCCTACATTGATCAAAATGTCCGGTTTTTCATCCAGGACCAGGGATCGAGTTATGGGGGCTAGAGATCTTTCAGGGAAAGATCCAGTTTCTACCTATATTACAATATTTATGGGCAAGCGTAGCGGGGAGAGGACGCAGAGCTCCGATCGTTGGTGCACCTGCTGCGTCCGGCGCACGATACATTCTCAAGGTGGAGCAACAAAACATTATTATTAACACATGATCGTTCATATCTGTTTAAATCCTCTGGTACTCGGTCTTTTAATCGTTCCTGATGCGCTCCGCTCATCGTGCGCTGCGGTGATTTCACCTCACTGACGCAGCATCGAAACGTGCACTCTGCTTTGCGGTCAGGAGATCCTTTTGATCTGTTCAAAAGTCACCGATGAGATGAAAAAGTAAGAATCCAGGCAGCAGATTTTCTAGAGTTTAGGGGAGATGCAGGAAGATGAGAGACAGACAGGACAGGAAAATAGTTAAATAAAAACAAGAAAACAAAGCTTGAAAGTCAAATGTAGGTATTTATCTCCACTACACGCTTTTACCTGTATAAAACAATAAGTTATACACATGTAATATTTATACATCTGATACTATTCAGATCACCTTCAACACTCAATCACACAGCCAGGGCCGTTTCAAGACATTTTGGGGGCCAAGGCAAAACGGAACACCCCTCTAACCCTAACCCGTACATAATAGACATGCCACCATTACATTGTTAGCAGCAGAAATTAAATGTTATTACCATTTCCAATACGAATGCATGTTAATGAAATGCATTATATTTTACTGGATATATGTATGTGTTATTTTGACTAAGATGAGTGTTATTAATACAAATCTAAAATGTTACTGAAAAGTAGGTCAAATATTTAAAAACAATTTTAACTGTAAATATCAGATGGCGAAAAATGGAACTAAACACCAATCGAATGCATGTTATTGAGACTTTTATAATATTTTGCCTTCAAAAAGGTGAGGCAGTTGAATACAGAGTATGCATGTGCTGGCGCATGGCCAGGATGGTACCACCGCAGCCTCTGATTATATAGCCTGGCAAGCCAGACTAAATAAATGTATTATTTAGTCTGGCAACGCTCCATTGACAGCTCTCGGTTGTGGGGCGGGTTCTACCGTTGTCTTTCAAATGATCTCCGCATGCTACTGGACAATGAATGTGACATACTCACCCCAACAGAAATAATCATTAAAAAAATGCTTTTCAGTGAACCACACCTTTAAACGGAGTGGCCTCAAACTGGAAAATACCATGGGATTTTGTTGCGCCAATTAATTAATCACAGACGTTCTCCGTTGCATTTGACATATATTTTAAAAAACTGGGTTCTGCTCATCGACATACATATATGGACAATGGTTTTCCATAGTCTCCAATAACACGTTTTTGAGGCTAAATGGGAGGTGCCCACCACCGCCATTTTGACCGTGTCACGAGTTCCGTCAAGCCCAGACAATTCCACAAAAGGGAAGAGAGGTGGAGCTGAGGGTGTGGCTGTAAGGCTGGGATCAACTGACGACACCCGGTCGAACTAGCTACAAGCTAACCTGAAGCTAACGCGGAGGTGTGAGCTAAGCTAATGGAGGTAGCAACCTAGCTACAACCGGAGTTAACTGTGCACAACACCAGAGCTTCTGAGTCAGAGATACGCCGGGCTGACCGCTGGGTAAAACCGGGTGGAACACAGAGGTCTCCGAGAGCTCCACAAGCCGGCAGCCCGCGCAGCAGACAGGCACTGCGGCGATCAGAGATGCGCCGAGCTGCGGGGAGGGGACCATACAGATAGTGGGAACCCAGCTACACCAACATGTTATATTTCAACCCATTTTCTAAAGTGCAGCATTATGTTAAATGCACTGGGTTTTACCCTATTACATTTAAATTTCATGGTTAAACAGTACATGTTAAAATCTAAGCTCAGCTCGGCAGTGACCTAAAATATATAAATATAATTTTACTTACCGAAAAAAATGAAGTGGAGACTCCTTGGATGCTCTAATAGTGCAATTAATGCCACAGCAAGTCATTTTGTCCAACAATTGCACAAATAATATCCAAACAAGAATACACAAACACAGAGACTCTAAATGCCGGAACAGTTTTAAGGCGAGGCCGAGGCTCTACTGAGGCCTTTCCACGGAGCTAGCTCTGTGGTCACGTGGGTCTGATGCTAATTAATTATACAGAATTTTAGGCTTTTAATACACTTAAACAGAAGAGTGAGAAAAAAATTCACCCCCTCTCAGAGTTGTCATGAGTGTAAACTAGATCATTTAAACCAAAAACATGTTCTGGTACCAGGCTGTAAACATGTTTATTTCTGCTGTGAAATTGGTATTTTTAACATGGGAGTCAATGAGGATTTGCTCGCTTCTGACACCAGCCCCTAGTGGATGAGGGTGGAACTGCAATTTTTGGTACTTCCGGGTTGGGCTCAATTTTTGAGCCGCATTGTGAGGGCTTGGTTCTGCTTCGTCTGTCCTTGTGTGCACATCGGGGAGCCCTTGCTTATTAACAGAGATGACTAATTAGCCAATCACATAGTGGTAACTCAATGCATTTAGGTATGTTGACATGGTCAAGACGATCTGCTGCAGTTCTAACCGAGCTTCAGAATGGGGAAGAAAGGTGGTCCAAGTGACTTTGAACGTGGCGTGATTGTTGGTTCCGGACGGGCTGGTCTAAGTATATCAGAAACTGCTGACCTTCTGGATTGTTACAACCCATCTCTAGGGTTTACAGAGAACGGTCCGAAAAAGGGAAAAGATCCAGTGAGCGGCAGTTCTGTGGACAAAAATGTCTTGTTGATGTCAGAAGTCAGAGGAGAATGGCCAGACTGGTTCCAGCTGATAGAAAAGCAACAGTAACTGAAATAACCAGCTGTTACAATCGAGGTATGCAGAAGAGCATCTCTGAACGCACAACACGTCGAACTTTGAGGCAGATGGGCTACAGCAGCTGAAGACCACACCGGGTGCTGCTCCTGTCAGCTAAGAGCAAGTTGTTGTTTTAAAGCGCCAAATAAACTTTGATTTTTCTTCATTTGGGGTCAAGTACCCAGAAGGATACTTTATATGTGCACTGGAACCCTCTAAATGTACCCTTTTGTCCCTTTATATGTAGAAATGTGATAAACTGCAGAGAAAGGGGGAAAGAAAGAAATAAAATCACAATCCAAAGGGTCATGTAGCAGTAAACGATGTCAGTTTGACAGTTCTATTGCTTAACGTAAACCCTTTATTAACCTTCAAAATATAACTTTGATTTAAAGAGGCTGAGAAAAAAAAATGAAGGATCAACACTGAATGCCTGAAGCTACCAAGTATTAAACTCGTAGAGTCTAGTCTGCAGCCCTATTTGGGACAACGTACTGACGTAACACTTGGGTTAACACCAAGCCTGCGTGCTAAAATCAGTCTGTGGTGCATTAACTGTAAAAAAAATAATAAAAATCCACCATCACAGCTTGACTTGCACGACCCTGTTCATTTTCAGTGTGCTTATCAGTTAGCTTTTTGCTTTGACTGGATAATTATTCATGACTTATTACAGCAGCAGATAAAATGTTCTCTAAATAAACTGATAACACAGTTTATCTACACAGATTTAAGCAGATTAGTGGAAAATCTGCTACTTTCTCCTCCGGATGACTTGGGAAGTAGCGTGCATGTTAATTAAAACTGGAATTGTGATAGCAAGAGATAAACAAGGCTGTTCCACACAAAAAGGCCGAATTAATCTGCTTGCATCATACTTTATTTATTTATGCTATAGCTTACCAAATTAACCAGGCAAAAATCCCTGGAAGTTATTTCCTTGTTGTAACCTAAATTAGAGGAAGCTGTGCAGACACCAGTGTATCTTATAAGAAATATGTGAGCCTCTTGACCCAGATTCACACAAAAAATTATCACAAGGCAAAGACACCTTCAGGTGTTGGGCTAATTTTAGTTAACATTTCATAAATCTTTTCTCTTTGCTTGTGTGGTAGTAGAAACACGATGAGAGACTTGTTCTAGCATGGATGTAGTTATCACTTTAGAAGTGGGGGGGGGGGCACGGGGGGGATCTTTACAATATGTTCTAATGTGAAACAGGCTTCAATACAAACGGTTGTCTTCCGCTTGGACCTAGAGCTTAACCAGTGTCAATTTAATATAGCGTAATATTGTTTTGGGATGGTAAAAAGTGCAGGGGTCAAACCTTGACTTTGGAAAAAGTGGGGGGGACATGCCCCCCCCCCCCCCCCCCCCCCAAATTACGCCCATGCGTTCTAGATATTTTCTTAAGTATTTAGAGAATGTTGCGTCAGTTCCTGGTGAATCATGAAGTTCCCAGAAATGTCGCACCATGTTGCCAAATATGACGCAGAAAAGGTTGATTAATGTTTCTTAGACAAGTAACTCCTAAAAACGCGTCTACCGGATACTGAACGTTCAACTTCCATCCCCAAGTCGACTCCAACCCAATTCTCACCAACCTGGGTGCTGACGTAGAGTTTTAAACAGTCGGCGCACGCGGTCCTCCTGCAGCAGGGCAGGGAGGCGATGGTTTTCTCCTCCAGGCACACCCGGCAGCACGCGTCACTCTCATCATCGGACTGCTCCCTGTGCTGGCGGTCTGAAGCGTGCCCCATCGGGTCCACCAGGTCGCCCAGCGAGAACAGCTCCAGCTCGGAACTCTCCACCTCACCCGACTCATTTTCTGCTGCTTCTGATGTGACCCCGTCTGTGATCTCGGCGTCTGATCGGAGGCTGTCGTTGGCGATGCAGTAAACAGTGCAGAAGACGTGTTCTTTTTTTAGACGAAAAGAGTCACCCAAAGTCGAGTTGCCATTATCGTCCTCTTTATGATGACGCTCGTCAGTGACCGGTAGTTTCTCTACTCCCTGAACGCTTGAAGTCGCCAACTCACTCAAGGTTGGCTCGTTTTTAGTTCCCGGCCCTCCCGTTTCTGCGTCCGACTTCAAACACTCGCTACATTCTGCTCCATTTCCGCCCTTCGGGCCGTTTTTACCGCTTCCTTCGTCGGTTCCGTGTTCGGCTCCAAACTGCATCCGACTTTTTGTACTCAAATGAAAGGATGGTGACTTTGAATCCCCGAAATGTATCCTCAGAAGCTCGACAGCGCTCGCCCTCCGCCTCGCTCTTCCTCCATCGCCGCCGTTGCAGTTGTTGTTGATGTTGCCCTCCGCATCCTTCTCTTCCTCGCCGCTCCTCTGCCTCGCGATCCCGTCGCTTCCGTCGAGCGACAGCCTAGAACTGGATCGGATGACGCCCCGGTTCAAATCTCCAACTTTACAGTCGGTGAAGGAAGTTTCCGTGTGCAGGTTGCGGGACGATTTCAGCCTGCCTTCTTCAAAGTTACTGATAAAACTCGGCATCTTAAAGTCGTCGGCTATCGGTCCTTCATCTTCCATCCCCGGTGTAGCTCTCCCCATTTAGTGAAAGGGTGTGCTCCGCGCGGACCTCTGCCTTCTTGTCTGTCCGTTCTCTCCAACTCCTACTACCAAAACAAAGCAGCTCCCTGCTTCCGGGCTGTGACGTAAGCACAACGGGGAGCTAAATAGATAGAGATGACGGTGGAGATAATAGATAGGCTAAAGAGAAGCCTAGCGGTGGGGTGTACAAACAGATCTTGGACACCACTCATTTGCTCTAAAAATACCTACAATGCCCAATTCTATAAAATACTCACATTTAAACACAAATATCCTCTAAACATGATGGTATAAAGATTGATAAGCTGGTGTTAAAGAGCCAAACAAGGCAAGACCAGTTAGTTTAATTTGGTTTTGAAGGTAAAAACGCCATTTTTTCTGTCGTCTTTATTGCTGTTTTAATACTTTTCCAGTTATATATACATATTTTTTCAAGTATTATGGTGGTTTAGATTTGTTTTTTTCTATATACAGCACATAATTAAAAGCATTTTATTAAACTTACTGTTTATCAAGAAAACGTCTAAAGTAAAGTTATGTAGGTCAATGGAATGATATGTAAAAATGTTTTATTGTTTTTGTTTACTTGAACGATTCATAAATCAAAGATACATGTTGAAAATGTTCTGAAAATAATCAAATACTGGCGAATTTTTAATTGCAATCATTTAAAAGATTCCAAGAGAGTCTGGCTGCTTAGAGGAGAAAAATATATAGAAACGAGAAGTGGCTTAAAACTACTACTTAATTTGATCATTAAGAGTCAAGAAAGTACGTAGGCTGAATTCTGAAAGTTTTTTTTCTCACCTCGGTACATTCACATGGATTTTGAACAGTTTCCCTGATTTGGAAAAATCTGGTGTTTACATTTCTGACTTGAGACACTCTTATCAGTGGGACCCTGACTGTACAAGGCTCATGATGATGGGATAAGGTCGGCTTGACTCCTCAGATTTTAGTCTAAATATCATACCACTTCAGACTTACCCACAGAGTTAGGACAGTTAGGATTATAATTTAACCTTATCATTTATTTAATTTCCTCATGCTGCATAGCAGTGTCACATATTTAACAGACACAAAAACGAAAAATCAAAACAAGAATAGTCCAACTGATTTTAGGGTTAGCCAATAAGAATTAGCAAAAAATGTGTGTACTTTTGGATTTTCTTGCAGTCCTACATATGGTGCACTTTGACTAGCTTGTTATCACTGACAAGATATGCACACAGTAGCAATCTCCACGGCTTATGGGCTTTTTAATCTTGCAATGAGACTTTGAAGTTTCACACCAGTACAATCATTTTTAAATCTTTTTAGCAGAAATGAGATCCAATGTAATAGCCAAAAACATATAAAAACTAAAGACAAAGAGATAAAATCTCACAAACACAAGCGGAACATATCACATGAGGTTGTTGCATGTAAATGTTGCACATCAGTTGCATCGCCCTCTGTGTTTTCATCTCTAGAAAATCCCATCTTAACTTAAGGGGCGTTTATCTGATTTCATCAGACAAACAAACACTGGTGCGCTGTGTGCAATCAAAGCAGCTAGGATTGACACGTTGTTATTGTGGAACACCTTTAAAGAATCAGCCTATGAGATATATTTCTAGCTATATGTCAATCAAAGATACTTTATTAATCCCAGAGGGAAATTAGAGTTTCAGTACACACAATTCAGAGATCAGACATACATGGGCAAGACACATGACAAGAATTGGTGACTGTGGTCATTCGCAATCCTGAGTCGCGCTACCTTAATAGAGATAAGAGGGGTACATGAGGATTGGTTCAGGTGGAGGGAAAAAAGGCACTTCAGAGTTACCCTCCACCAGGAGGGCAGCTCTGCTCTGGGATAAGAGACAGAGTTGAGTTGCCGTGGCGACAGCACATTCCACATTTCTTCTGAGGGGGGAGTTTTTGTTGTAGCCTTGCAGGCTCAAGGGTACCAGATTCCGGTTAGCAATTGTTTTGGGGCCAGACAGAGATAATCCTCCTGTTTTACAGTTTGTTGGTCCTCAACCTCTCAGAATCCCAATAATGGACATTAATCTATCTCAATCCGTGCTGATTCGTCCACTCTCTCCTTGATGGCATCCATCCTTGTGCCAAAGAATGAATCTCCGCCAAAGTCCCAAGCTTACGATTCATCTAGACAATTATGTGAGTCTGTGAATTCACAGCACGGTGCAAACCATCTCTGAGCTCCGGGATCAGGCCAATGTTCCTCGACAGCTCGTTCATTTTCCGGTAAGCCAGGCAGCCTCCAAGGTCAATGAGCAGGAAACCTGACACCAACACCACCCAAGGCCGGATTAACCATATGGGCAACTGGGCAATTGCCCAGGGCCCACGAACTCTAAGGGGCCCAGGGCAGCAAGCGCACGAGCAAAATACTGTAGGCATGTCTGTAATCTCCCACATTATATTAAACTAGGGTAACCATATGTCCGGTTTTCCCCGGACATGTCCACTTTTCACTCTCTGTCCGGGCGTCCGGACTGGGGGTCCGCGGTCGTATTGATGAAAATGTCCAGCTTTTCATCCAGGAGCAGGGATCGAATTATGGGGGAGCTGTATATCTTACACATCCAGGGGAGCCGGAAACAAGTTTTCTATCTATATTACATCATTTATGGACTCTTCTGAGCAGAGAGCACAGAGAGCGGCACAGCGCGTTCTTGCGCAGCGCTCCAGGCAGCTGCTTCCAGCGCACGGTCCATTCTCAAAGTGGCGCAACCAAAAAACTATAATTAGCACACGATCGTTCATGTCTGCACATATTATCTATTTTCTGTCTTATTTGTGCCTGAAGCGCTCTGCTGCTGCGCAGCTCATCACCTGTGCTGCGCGGTGCTGCGGTGATTTCACCTCACTGACGCGGCATCGAAAGGCGCACTCCGCTTTGCGGTCAGGAGATCCCTTTGATCTGCTCAAAAGTAACTGATGAGGTGAAAAAGTAAGAATCCTGGCAGCAGTTTTTTCTGGAGAGTTTAGAGGAGACGCAGGAAGATGAGAGACGGACAGGACAGGAAAATAGTTAAATAAAAACAAGAAAACATAACTAAGTGTGGAAAAGTAAAATGTAGGTACATTTATCTCCACTACACGTTTTTACCTGTATAAAACAACAAGTTACACACATGTAATATTTATACATCTGATACAATTCAGATCACCTTCAACACTCAGTCACACACCCAGGGCCGTTTCAAGACATTTTGGGGCCAAGGCAAAATGACCACCCACCCCCACCCCCACCCCATAACTGGGCTCCCCAGAAACCTCTGTGTAATTGTTACCCTCTCCAGTAGTGTTAGTTATATGGTGTTTATAAAAGCCCCTCAGACATTACTGACATGTTCTAATATTATCAGATGAAAAGCTAAATTATCAGACATGCTGTCTCATCTGCTGCTTTTCTAAACTTGCAAAAAGTAACAAAACCATTTGAAAGCCACTATTTGTGGATTCTCTGAAAGTTTCCATGGAGTGTGGGACAACTTATTTTTTCATTGATCCTATCGTCTAATCTCACAGCTGAAACAAGCATCCTTAATAATCTGTGCACAGGAAGCGTACCGATGCTGTAGTAAAACAAAAGGTATAATAATTTATTATTAATAAAACCTTGTTGCAGCACTAAAGCAGAAAAATGAGATATTGCAATACATATGCTAAATATTTGCATATGAATTGTTTTAGAGCCCTTTTATTGGCAGAATCTGATATTAATTTAGTTCTTACAAAAAAATGGGTCCCAGCGTGGTTTGTGTGGCGTTGCCATAGTGTGATGTCATAGGCACAGATCCCCTGTCCTCTTGTTTGGAAATGGAAATATGATCACTCTATATTAAACAAACTGTCCACCCGGGCTTTTGCGCTGCACAGAGACGCTTCGCTGCCTACGACTTTGAACGTCAGTTGAGAGTCAGTCTCATGCAGACTGACCAATGAAGAGAGGGCCTCAAGTTAAGACCCTCTCCTCATTGGTCAGGCCACACAAGGTGGGTCAAAGGTTACCCTGAGCGGGTTACGTGATGTCAGGCATTCAAGCATTGAGTATATTTACTGCATATTACAGTAAAATATTCTGTATGTGACCATATTATGGTGATCCTTGGGTCGTGATGATGGGGCCCTTGAATATTGTTGCCCAGGGTACAACAAAGTGTTAATCTGGCCCTGACACCACCAATATGCACACGTCTTCAGAGTCCTCCACCGACAGCTGAGATAAACACATCAAGTTCCACTGTTTCCAGGATTCCATGATGTGTCCAACTGGGTCTGTACCGGCGGGGCATCCGGAAGCCCCTTCTCCCGTTCTCATCGTTGAAAAAATTTTATCAATCGCGTTGAGAGACCAGCTGACGAGATCCATTTAAGTGAATTTCAGTTTCCAGAAAAATGCATAAGCAGCCGTGCACCCAGCACACAGAGACAGACAAGGGCCTTGAGGATAAGATATGGAGGAGAGGAGGAAAAAGGCATCTGCACCCTTCAAGAGCCGGAGGAGTCAGTCAGTTCTATAATAAATATGCTTTGGCTGTGCCCAGTTGGTTTTATCAACCTGACAACAAGCTTGTCATGTAAAAATGCTGAGTCCATCCTGCATAAAATAGGTCAAACAGCGAGGACAGAGTGCAGCAGGATGGAAATGAATATTTTAAGTCTTAACTGAGGCTTCATTCTGTCTGAAAGTCAATGCTTAAAGAGGAGGTGTCTTCCTCAGTAGTACAGCCTTAGTCTTGACTAGGAGAGTGTTTTGCCTTTTAAAATTACTCTGAGTAACCTGGGCATTTATTTGACCTCAGATGAAGATGTGAGAACATCAGTGATCCTTCTCATCTTGCAACGCAGCAGCACTTCCTGGCTGTCGCCGACTGAGGGGCGGGATGGAGAAACGCAGTGGATGAGGTTTTGAATGTTGTTTGGAAATAAATGAGAGAATTAAGAAAAAAAAACACAGCAGACCTTCCTTCTCCAAATTCCAATTTAATCCCAGGTTTTATGTACAGTAACTTTTTTTTAGGGGGTACCATTACAAGAAGAGAGTTACCATACACGGTTATAGTCTGTGGCAAACTGTGAAAAGATAACTAAATCCCAGAGTCACTGAATTTCTGGACATTGGCACATTTCCATCCAAACATTGATAATTAGGTAATTGCTCTATCTGGGATATCAACTTTTTTAAAGGTGGCTGTGCAAAAAATTTTAACAAAATTTATTCTACTAATTTCTACCAATGTGTGTGTTTAGTTTATGCTAGAGGGGCATTCATCATAGTGGCGAGTAGTGAACAAATATTCTCAGCAACTCCAATAATGAAACT